AGGATTCGATGTCCGTGATCTGTCATGGCGCGGCACGCTGCTCTAGAGAGGGACAGGATGACGACAGGATTCGATGTCTTAATCTGTCGTGGCGCAGCACGCCGCTCTATAGAGGAGACAGGATTCGATGTCTCGTGATCTGTCGTGGCGCGCCACGCTGCTCTATAGAGGAGACAGGATGACGACAGGATTCGATGTCTCGTGATCTGTCATGGCGCGGCACGCTGCTCTAGAGAGGAGACAGGATGACGACAGGATTCGATGTCTCGTGATCTGTCATGGCGGCGGCACGCTGCTCTAGAGAGGAGACGGGATGACGACAGGATTCGATGTCTCTTGATCTGTCGTGGCGCGGCACACTGCTCTATAGAGGAGACAGGATGACGACAGGATTCGATGTCTCTTGATCTGTCATGGCGCAGCACGCTACTCTATAGAGGAGACAGGATGACGACAGGATTCGATGTCTCGTGATCTGTCATGGCGCGGCACGCTGCTCTATAGAGGAGACAGGATGACGACAGGATTCGATGTCTCGTGATCTGTCATGGCGCGGCACGCTGCTCTAGAGAGGAGAGAGGATGACGACAGGATTCGATGTCTTAATCTGTCGTGGCGCAGCACGCCGCTCTATAGAGGAGACAGGATGACGACAGGATTCGATGTCTCGTGATCTGTCATGGCGCGGCACGCTGCTCTAGAGAGGAGACAGGATGACGACAGGATTCGATGTCTTAATCTGTCGTGGCGCAGCACGCCGCTCTATAGAGGAGACAGGATTCGATGTCTCGTGATCTGTCATGGCGCGCCACGCTGCTCTATAGAGGAGACAGGATGACGACAGGATTCGATGTCTCGTGATCTGTCATGGCGCGCCACGCTGCTCTATAGAGGAGACAGGATGACGACAGGATTCGATGTCTCGTGATCTGTCATGGCGCGGCACGCTGCTCTAGAGAGGAGACAGGATGACGACAGGATTCGATGTCTCGTGATCTGTCATGGCGCGGCACGCTGCTCTAGAGAGGAGACGGGATGACGACAGGATTCGATGTCTTAATCTGTCGTGGCGCAGCACGCCGCTCTATAGAGGAGACAGGATGACGACAGGATTCGATGTCTCGTGATCTGTCATGGCGCGGCACGCTGCTCTAGAGAGGAGACAGGATGACGACAGGATTCGATGTTAATCTGTCGTGGCGCAGCACGCCGCTCTATAGAGGAGACAGGATTCGATGTCTCGTGATCTGTCATGGCGCGCCACGCTACTCTATAGAGGAGACAGGATGACGACAGGATTCGATGTCTCGTGATCTGTCATGGCGCGCCACGCTGCTCTATAGAGGAGACAGGATGACGACAGGATTCGATGTCTCGTGATCTGTCATGGCGCGGCACGCTGCTTAGAGAGGAGACAGGATGACGACAGGATTCGATGTCTCGTGATCTGTCATGGCGCGGCACGCTGCTAGAGAGGAGACGGGATGACGACAGGATTCGATGTCTCTTGATCTGTCGTGGCGCGGCACACTGCTCTATAGAGGAGACAGGATGACGACAGGATTCGATGTCTCTTGATCTGTCATGGCGCAGCACGCTACTCTATAGAGGAGACAGGATGACGACAGGATTCGATGTCTCGTGATCTGTCATGGCGCGGCACGCTGCTCTATAGAGGAGACAGGATGACGACAGGATTCGATGTCTCGTGATCTGTCATGGCGCAGCACGCTGCTCTGTAGAGGAGACAGGATGACGACAGGATTCGATGTCTCTTGATCTGTCATGGCGCGGCACGCTGCTCTATAGAGGAGACAGGATGACGACAGGATTCGATGTCTCTTGATCTGTCATGGCGTGGCACGGTACTCTGTAGAGGAGACAGGATGACGACAGGATTCGATGTCTCTTGATCTGTCATGGCGCGGCACGCTGCTCTACAGAGGAGACAGGATGACGACAGGATTCGATGTCTCTTGATCTGTCGTGGCGCGGCACGCTGCTGTATAGAGGAGACAGGATGACGACAGGATTCGATGTCTCGTGATCTGTCATGGCGCGGCACGCTGCTCTAGAGAGGAGACAGGATGACGACAGGATTCGACGTCTCGTGATCTGTCATGGCGCGGCACGCTGCTCTATAGAGGAGACAGGATGACGACAGGATTCGATGTCTCGTGGTCTGTCATGGCGCGGCACGCTGCTCTAGAAAAGGAGAGCCTACACACGCGGGAGTTTTCAGGTGCTTTGAGGTCCAAAACGCAGTGTTTTTGAGGATGTTTTACATGTATCGCCGCGAAACAAGCAGATGCACAGACCGTAATTCTCCAATGTTAAAATGTTTCCCTTGCTCGCTATCATGTTGTCTTACTGCTTAACACCGCAGGTGTAGCGGCCGCGGCGCACCTGTTGGTCAGAGCGGTATGGTAAGCCGGCGCTTGGTGATCGCCGGCCTGAGCCCGCTCGGCGCCAGCCCGTAACCGGTCCGACCGGCCGCCAGGGGACGACCTCTTCCTGGACGAGGCCGTGCAGCGCGCCCTCCGGCTGGCGCTGGGTCACGTGCTGCGCCAGCCGGCGCGACTCGACCTCACAGCAGAGGTGCCCGGCCTGGCCAGCTTCGCCGACCTGTGAGTGAGGCGGCACACAGGCTGATCAGAGGCCTGTGACAGGGAGGGGTCACAGGCTGGCCAGTGGCCTGTGGCAGGGAGGGGTCACAGGCTGGCCAGTGGCCTGTGACGAGGAGGGGTCACAGGCTGGCCAGTGGCCTGTGGCAGGGAGGGGTCACAGGCTGGCCAGTGGTCTGTGACGCGGAGGGGTCACAGGCTGGCCAGTGGCCTGTGACAGTGAGGGGTCACAGGCTGGCCAGTGGCCTGTGACGGGGAGGGGTCACAGGCTGGCCAGTGGCCTGTGGCAGGGAGGGGTCACAGGCTGACCAGTGGCCTGTGGCAGGGAGGGGTCACAGGCTGGCCAGTGGCCTGTGAGAGTGAGGGGTCACAGGCTGGCTAGTAGCCTGTAACAGGGAGGGGTCACAGGCTGGCCAGTGGCCTGTGACGCGGAGGGGTCACAGGCTGGCCAGTGGCCTGTGACAGGGAGGGGTCACAGGCTGGCCAGTGGCCTGTGGCAGGGAGGGGTCACAGGCTGGCCAGTGGCCTGTGAGAGTGAGGGGTCACAGGCTGGCCAGTGGCCTGTGACGGGGGGGGGGGGGGGTCACAGGCTGGCCAGTGGCCTGTGGCGGGAGGGGTCACAGGCTGGCCAGTGGCCTGTGGCAGGGAGGGGTCACAGGCTGGCCAGTGGCCTGTGGCAGGGAGGGGTCCCAGGCTGGCCAGTGACCTGTGGCAGGGAGGGGTCACAGGCTGGCCAGTGGCCTGTGGCGCGGAGGGGTCACAGGCTGGCCAGTGGCCTGTGACGGGGAGGGGTCACAGGCTGGCCAGTGGCCTGTGGCAGGGAGGGGTCACAGGCTGACCAGTGGCCTGTGGCAGGGAGGGGTCACAGGCTGGCCAGTGGCCTGTGAGAGTGAGGGGTCACAGGCTGGCTAGTAGCCTGTAACAGGGAGGGGTCACAGGCTGGCCAGTGGCCTGTGACAGGGAGGGGTCACAGGGTGATCGGGACCTATAAGAGGGGTGATATTGGCTGTTCAGATTGCCTTTGAAAGGAAGGAGGCACCAATGGGAGAACCGGGATGGGGTTATGGGCCGGCAGTGACCCGTTCGAGCGGTCCCGTAAAACGACACGACGTCTCCTCTTTCCATAAAGCTCGATGCTTTGAACGGGACTTGCAGCACAGCTCAGTCCGCTTTTGTGCTAAGCAGGGCAAAACGAATTCATTAAGCTGTCAATTCTGTTTCTTGACAACATTGGGAGGGAGGGCTCAACATTCATGTGCGCCAATGTGAGCCATGTAACATCCATGTGAGCCACTGGGCTAAGCCATAACTCATTGTTTTGGGTGGCCCGTTGAATGGCTTGGTTCCGTTCACCAGCACAGAAGCTGTCATCCGGCAATGGATTATTTTCGGATGATTCGTTGCCGATGTTATGCATCACCTGTCTTTTATGCCCCCGATTTGCTGATGCCGTCACAGCTATTTGCTGCATTTGTGTTCGTGGATGAGAAATGCACGCGTGTTGTTGGAACTGCATAGTGCCGTGCTCGTAATACGGTGTACGAGTGTGACCGGTCGTTCGGGCTCCCGATAATATGCGCCTGGATGGGTTGCGTGGCTCATTGGCTCTATGCAGAATTGATGGCCATGAAACGTTGAAGCGATAAGACATTTCTCATTGTCTTCGTTTAAAAAGTTTCGTGGATGTTCTCATCATGTTCTCATCATGTCACATCATTTCTCACCTCTAAACTCTGATACGCACTTATCGACTTTCATGCGAACTTCAGCTGAAAGATAGCCTGCAAATAGTGTATGGACATCCGAGCCTCGAAAGTTTTTGCAGAAAGGTCAAGCAAAAGGCCTCTACGGACTACAACTTCCCCGTAGCATAATGGCTGACACGCTGTTGTTGCCAAGAAGTTACACACATCACGCGGGGTTCGATTCTACCCAAGGCATCACGTAATCCCAAGAAGCAGAACAAATCTGTTCCAAGGTGTGACACGGGGAATATCCCTGAACACCCATATGCTGGCAGAGCTGGGCACAATTTTAACAATGGTGGGAATATCCACCCCCCCCCCACCCCCCACCCCCTCGTGACAACTGGGTTTAGTGAGATTTTGGTCCCAGCGCTATGCCAGTAATGAACTGTTCTCAATGAAAATGGTGCGTCCAAGTTTGTAGGAACTAGCGCTGTCCGGACCAGCGCATTTCTAGTTGTCTGTAATTGTGGAGCCCTTACCCTTTTGTTGATTAAGCTGACAGCCGCCCATTAAAGGTGTTGACGGATCCTCGCAGGGATAATAAGATGTCGCTTTTCCTTTCGTTTCTTTCTATCCAACCTCTGGCTATCTGTGGCACTGTGTGGCTTCCATAGATCGAAGGCTGTTTTCCAGAGATTGGAGCGGCTCTCTGCCTCCCCCCCCCCCCCCCTCCCTGTTCAGAGGTCATTTTGGCAACCACAGCGTGCGCTGTTGTGCAGATGGACTTACTGATGTGTAGCGTGGGAGCAGCGCAGCCCGCCTGAGCGGCGGCGCGTGTGCGCCCGGCGACCGCGACCTCGGCTGAGCGGCGCCGCCCGCCCTCGCGCCGCCAGGTACGGCCAGCTGCTGGACCAGTTCGAGGCCGTCTCGTATGGCGACGCGCTGTTCGGCGCCGTGGTGATGGTGCCGCTCGAGCCGCGCCACCCGTCTGAGCTGCGCCGACTCGTCTGGAGCGAGCGGCCGCACGCGCTGCGGGCCCTCACCACCCGACCCGACCAGGTGCGTCCAGCCGCCCGCCGCGGCCGCGCGCGCACTGGCAGATACCGACCGAACGGCGTGCGCAGCCTCACGTGTGCAGCGCGGATACGCACGCACACACGCATTGTCACACAGCTGTGCATCATGCAAGGTGGAATGTTCTTTGACGAGAGGGAAATATCGGACTATGGCATGTTCTGCATCAATGAATTGATAACCTTGTCCACATCATTGAATTGATGACCTTACCTACATCAACTAGTCGATGGTCCTACCATGAGGTAAGGCTATCGATCTTGGTGGCTACGGCCTATCGCCGGCACTCCAGCAGGTGCTTTGCGATGAACAATGGACGCCTTGTCCCTTCACACGGATGTTAATGATGGTCTGTGCATATGCGCCAGTTGAGACTTGTCCCGAGTGCGGTACTGGATAATTTGTGGCACACCGCCAGGACTGTGTTTATAGTTAATTACTTAGCATAGGTGGCGCAGCCTCGTCGATTTTTAGGCGCGTCGAGAAAAGATGACTTCCGATTAGCTGTGAACCCAGCATTGCCGGGATATATGCCCGTTTCAAGCCTCCTTTAGGGGTGTTTATAACATGCTGAAGGCACGCTGTGGGGTGCATTGGCCAGCAGAGGTCGCATAACAACGTAGTAAGCACGCTTTTCCATTACCGATGCCGTTTTGTTTAGACGCCGGGGGAGAACACTCGGAACGAATCGTCCAACGTTATCTTGGCAGTAGGCTGCAGACGAACATATAGACGCAGTAGACCAACGTTGCGTTTCCGCTTTTTGTGTTCGCATTGAGAAGTTCAATGTGCAAGTGGATTGAAACACGTTGCCGCACTAAACAGTAGCGATCCTCGTCTGGATGATTTTCGAATAATCTTCGATATATTTATCGTTCCCTATGGTGAACACCAAAGCTTTTCGCACGTATTGGTTCGAAAATGGGTGTGTCAGCAACGACATGGTGTTTTCACCCTCGGACAAACTCAGCATTGATAGCATTGAATCAGTCGCTATCATGCAGTTTGTTGCGCTCAATGCTTGTCCCTTCCGCCAGATCGTGCCTGTCTTAAACGGGCGTTCTAGCCTCGTTGGCTATCAGTCCATTGCGTATAGTCACTCTTATCAGCACCATTTTTCTGCACGCCGTTTGTTGGCTGTCGACAGATGCTGGTGCCACTGGAGCAGTTCGTCGCGTCGCCGGAGCCGGACCAGGTCGTGCGGACGGCGTACCGACGGGCGCTCGACTCGGGCCAGGTCACGGCCGCCCGCAACCCGGCCCTGTTCCGGATCGCCTCGGCCCTCTCTGGTGCCGCGTGACCCAGGCGGTCCCCTCTGGCGCCGCGTGACCCAGGCGGTCCCCTCTGGCGTCGCGCGACCCCAGCGGCCCTGTGGTACTGCGTGATCCTACGGCCCTCTGGCGCCGCGTGAGCCCGACGGCCCTCTGGCGCCGCGTGATCCTACGGCCCTCTGGCGCCGCGTGAGCCCGACGACCCTCTGGCGCCGCGTGAGCCCGACGGCCCTCTGGCGCCGCGTCATCCCAGCGACCCTCTCTGGCGTCCTGTGACCCCAGCGGCTCGGGCTGGCTTCGGTAGAGTGGAAGCGTCGGGTAGTATGCCACGTGGCGGTCGCGAAAGTACCTGGGTGTGGTGGATGGAACACGTCGCCGTTTTTAACTGGCTGAAGAAGAATATGCGAACATGTCAGGCTTTGATGATCGCCATAAACACGACTTTTCAGTCTTGCGGACTATGTGTTTTTCACAGATGCTATAGACAAGAGAAGATATGACTGGCTCTTTAATCTTCATTCCTTTATGGCCTTATAAACGGAATGTGTAATAGTTTGACAGCCGCGGCAGTCGGACGTCTCAGTCTCATCGAGCGGCGATACGCAGCAATCGAACCCCGTCCACTACCTTGATCTAAATGATTGCAGTGATAATCCTAGTGTCAAGAACGACAGCGGCTAATCAAACGCCTTCACCTTCAATAAAACATGCTCAGCAGCCAGATCATTTCTGAGGAAGGGAAGGTTAAGCGCTATTCGGCATCGTATTGAAAGCATCAAACAGTATGTAAGCCGGCCCTACGGCACCGGACGGTGCGTCTCGGCTCATCTTACGCGGCGGGTTCTGTCGTGAACGACAGCCGGTCGTCAGCGACGGGAGCGGATGCGCCTCGGACGGTGCGCCTCGGCTCACCTTACGCGGCGGGTTCTGTCGTGAACGACAGCCGGTCGTCAGCGACGGGAGCGGATGCGCCTCGGACGGTGCGCCTCGGCTCACCTTACGCGGCGGGTTCCGTCGTGAACGACAGCCGGTCGTCAGCGACGGGAGCGGATCGGTCGATGCGCAGCTGCAGACCCGGCGCCGTGGTGGTGTTAACCGCGACGTGCACCTCACTCAGAGTTCCGGGAACCAAGGCTGTCGACTTGTGCCAACGGCTCATAATGGACGCCAACGATCGAAGGCATGAGCGAGCTCCCTTCAACGCCATTCACAGCTGTTGCGGCGTGGTCGCGTCATTTTGTAATAGCCACCAGGGGCTGTCTGATAAAGCCAGCCTTCAGGACAACTTGCCGGAAATCGATAACTAAAAATGTCGCCGGTGATCAGATTCGTGCTTGCCTCCAGCGAAATTTCATCTTATTTCGGTATGGTCTCCGTTACAGTTGGCATCATATTTGGGCTCTGCCTCATTACTTGCTAAGTCGGATGGGATTTATATATATATATATATATATGTATATATATATATATATATATATATATATATATATATATATATATAGCGATACATTCCGAGTTGGTTCAATTTGACTTAACATATGACGAAACAATGTAATAAAAATAGGATGTGACTTTTACACGATTCACGACATTGCACGATGTGAGCTAGGCAGCTTGCTATACTTCTGCTAACACATATTGCACGATTAAAACTTGATTTGAATTCGTCATCAGATTCAGAACAAGAAGCATCAGCTCGACCTATGCCGGAGTCTGGTTCGAATTCATTTCCAATTTTCGACGGGAGGTTTTTTAATCCGATTCAGATGGGCCTTTATTTGACACACTTACATTCCAGATGAGTAACCGACTCAATCCAAGCGAAACCAAGCACAAGACCCACACAACACGATCCGGAGCTTGGATTTCGGGCCTCTCCGTCCTTGTTGCAAAGCCAGCTTGCCGTGACCAGAATCTCGTTCGTAAAACCTGTAGTGTCGGCATACTGAACTTTTTTTCGGGGCGATTTCGTCATGCATTGTCTATCGGAGGCTTTACACTGCAACCAGCGATTGCGATCTTAAGTTTGTGATTAAAGTAGGTGGGCAATTGCAGTACGCGATGCAATGGCGAGTTTTCAGCCCCCTCGCCATGTTCTCTTGTTTTTTTTTCACATGATTTCAGATCCCCGCTGTAGCCACATTAATAGCCACCATTGCATGTGAAGTGCGAGCTTGTATTATAAAACGATATGTTCAGCGTCGTGGGGTGTAAGTGCTATATGAATGATTACGAGGTAGCCCAGCATCCGAACACTGACTTTCCGGATCGCGGGTGACTGGCAGCTTTAGTTCCACGCTAGTGTGCATGGTAGAACACGGCCATGTAAAAGGATACTCGACCCACAGATATGTGGCAGCAAAGTCCCTCAACATGCCTTATGCGGTGAGCGTAGCTCTGCTTTGACTATAACTGCCACTGTACTTGATTGTCTGCTTGTACTCTGCGCTCTACTTAATCGGTCGTGCACCCCACAGTCGGTGAAAGGCATCATTGCTAGTACGTAGAACGCCCACTTGAAAGGTTCGGACGGTCTTGCGCCCGGACAGTTGGGTGTCTTCCAGCACGGCGCCCTCTGGTCCTGCCGCCTGCCGAGAACCATTGCTTATAATGTGCTGACGCAGACCACAAGTGCCCGGTGGGAACGAGATGGTGTCGATGTGAGCCGCCCGGGGGCCTGGCCCGCTGGTGACGCCCGGCCACGGCGGGGCGCGAGCCAGCCGGCGCGTCAGGCGCGCGGCCGGCGCCGGCCCAGCCTGTACACGACAATCTCGGCGACCAGCAGGAGCAGCGAGAGCGCCGCGCCACCGAGAAGCGAGCCGAAGATGCCGGCCACGGCGCCCAGTCCGAGCTGCGAGTACTGGGCGGCGTGCGGCTCCACCGAGCAGAGGCGCGAGCCCACCAAGTGCTCGCGCCGCAGCCGCCGCCGCCACCGGTTCAGCACGCCAGTCTCCTGCAGCACGCGTATGTAGCGGTTCAACATCCAGGCGTTGTGCAAGTGGGGCGGCCCGATCATGCCCACTGGCGACGAGGCGACCTGCTCGGGCCAGTAACAGAGCGGGCACGTGGCCGGGTCGGCGAAGGCTGGGTCCATTGCCAGGAAGGCGTCCGTTGCCAGGATGGTGTCGCCCGACGGCGTGTTGGCGTACGCGAACGCCGGGTACTGCTCCTCCGGGCCGGCGAACGCGATCGGCTGGCTCTGTTTCAGCATGCCGCGCAGCAGCTGGGTGCTCTCGGAGCGCAGCAGTGTCTCCTCCGGCGAGTTCTGCTGGTAGCGGAAGCGATAGCCAAGCGTTACGGCTTCGGTCAGGCTGGAGAAGCGGGCCTTCGGCACCAGTACCGTCATGAAGCTCAGCATGACGCCCGTGTAGAAGGTGTAAATGAAGAGCGAGAACAGACTGGCCGTCATGAAGACCGTGCCCGCGGAGAACGAGCCGACCGTCAGTTCGACGCCCTGGTGGCAGATGATGCCGACCACCTGCAGCGCGTGCGAGCTGGCCTCGTGCAGGGTCCGCCAGACGACGCCCCCCGGCCGACCGGCCCCGTCGTCGCCGTCATGCTGGTACCGGCGCACCAGCCAGGCCGTCAGCCACGAGCAGAGGCCGGACAGCAGCATCGTAGCCAGGATGCCGATCCAGACGGACGTCACGAACGGCTGGGCCGGGATCGAAGTCGGCGCTGGCGAGCTGCGGCCGCCGCACCGTGGCGTACGTGGTGACGTAGTACTGCGCGTGCAGAAACTGGACACGCTTGCTGCGACCGGGCGTGGAGCTCAACAGCGCTAAGCCCAAGTCCAGCCGGTACTCGGCCACCTCTTGCACCAGTCGCTCCCAGACGGACGTGTTGGCCGTGGCGTGCACCGAGTGCACCGAGTAGCTGAAGCCGAGCGCGGCGGCCATCGTCTGAACGAGGTCGGCCTGCGGGCCGGGCAGCAGGCGGCCGTCGCGCACCGCTACGCCGTCCTCGTAGCCGGCGGAGCGCACCGTGCCGTCGGCGGCCGCCGGCAGCGCGCCGAAGCCCAGCCGCAGGTGTTGGCCGCGCATGGCGCCGCGCAGCAGCCAGTCGCCCACGTTGACGGCGGCCACGGCGCGGCCGGGCGTGTCCTCCTGGAAGGCAGCACCGTCGGCGCGGCAGCGGCCGACCGGCGCCACCACCCACTGGCCGCGCTGCGGGCTCCAGCGCAGCGTGTCCAGTCGCCAGGCGTCGTCGCCGCGGTACAGCCAGCTGACCCAGCCGGCCGGGCCGTCGCGCGGCCGGAATGTCGGGTCGCTGATGACGTGCACCCAGTGGTGGTCGCCGTGCGGCAGCCAGAGCGGCGATTGGTTGAAGAGCAGGCCGCCGCTGCTGTGCGGCGGCAGTCGGCCGGCCGAGCCGTGGTGTGCCATGTGTACGAACAGACCGAGCGCCGAGAAGTCTGACAGCCAGCGGGCGGCGGAGAAGTCTGCGGACGCGCGGGCAGACGTCAGCGAGGGAGTCGAGGTCAGACTGCGATCAAGACGGGGTCACACTGCGGAGGGAGCCTTCGACAGACGGCGGGAGCAAAGACATCGGCGGCAGAAGGAGAGACAGGGTCGTGGGAATGGCGCCCGGCTCACCAGAGAAAGAGCTTTGGTGAAGCTACGAGCCTGCGAGCGGGCGAGTTATCCAGCGCACCTGAGGAAGCACCTCCGACAGATCGAGAAAAGGGTCCCTCGGGCAAACCCAGCAAATAATTCTGCGAAAAATGTATGCATGGAGTATGCATGCATGCATGCATGTATGTATGTATGTATGTATGCATGTATGTATGTATGTATGTATGTATGTATGTATGTATGTATGTATGTATGTATTTATGCATGGAGTATGAACGACCTGTATGCAACCGGGGCGAATCCTCGGGAATTCCTGGCGAAGCCGGCCTCTCACGCCAGTCTGCAGACGCTAAGGATGAACATAATGACTTGGCGTGGTGCATGCACACACTGAGCAAGCAGCTTAACCATGCGAGTGCTTGCAGCGTGTTAAATAATCGCGTGGGTTTGTTGATCAATGAAATGTGCAGTCAATGCGAATTTACCATTGTACCAGTATGACAACGTTTGTCAGCGTCAGAACAAGCCCGTCTCGCCAACTACGACGACCAACAGGCAAACTTTGGTCCGTTACGTACGGCTGCTAACCGAAGGTTGGGTCCGTTACATACGGCTGCTAACCGAACGCTCCACGCCCCAAGTCTTCGGAGCTGAGACCATGCAAGTGATGATCCCGTTATGCTGAACCCGGGGCTCACGTGTAGCGTCGCACTTAAGGGGAGAACCCTTGGTCGTGGCCCTCGAGGTCCCGCCCTTTAGTTGCGACGGGGGCGCTGGAGTCGTGCCTGTCACGGCCGCTGATCTAAGACAGCGATGGCGTCAAACTACCCACCATTGTATCATCGCCAGTGCTAATGGCTATTGTCGAAAGTTTAAGACGCATGTGGTGAGCCATCAAATATTGTTGAATGTCAACAAAGCACTTCTGCCCACGTTATGGACCCGAGCGCGGTCACCTACGAGCCCGCATGTGCAGCCAGTGATCCGACCACGGGGGCACAAAGGTGGACACTTTGCATGTCCCTCTCAATAATCTGTGTTCATGCTGGAAAATTGCTAAGTTATTCCCGAATTTTCCAAGTCATCGAAACACGATGTCCAGGGTCGGTGTGGGGTGCCGGTAGTGTAGTGGTTAACCAGGCAGGCGACGCCATATAGCCTCAGCAGCTGAGTGCGTCGTAAAGCCCCAATGACATGACACATGGTATGACAGGGTCGGTGCCTTGGATCTGATTCCCGATAGTGAACGTTGAAAATCGTAAAACGGGGAGGCTTATAGTCAACATCACACAGGCGTACTTGTAAAGTAGGTTCAAATTGCACCATACTTCGTTGACCCTATTTGGGACCCAAACGTTAGCTGCTGTGGATGCATCGCCAGATCGCAAATGAGGACACGGAGCTGCTTTCATGTCTTACAAATAAGCGTCATTGAATGCACCGCAAGTTATATGTTAACTACTTATTCGACAGTGCAGTGCATCGTCCATCAACTAGAGCCCGCACTGCCGCACGCAATTGGTGCAACTATCTAGCAATCGACGCAGTTGCAAAAAAGTGTCTTTGCGAACAGGCTAGGCAGTCAGCAAAAAATGTCAAATTTCATCCGCATAGTTGAGACCATGCTCAATTGCACACGACTTTTTGCGAATCCTGCAAGGATTTCGCATACCCGCGATTGCAAAATAATTGTGACGTCACCAAACAATGCAGATTCTCGATATAGCACAAAAACACAGCAGGAATGAGACACATGAATGTGGTATGAGCAGCGTCCCCTTTTACTTAAGGGGCACCCATTGGTGAGTTAACCCCAGAGCATGTATGCGCCAGACATCTTGAGCACAGAACCATCTGCCGCGAGTTGCACCCGACGTCATTAGCTCATTGCTGAACCTTTGACACTCGGTGACGGTACGTTCGTGCAGACCGAGGAGGCTTATATGGCCTATGGCTTATATAGGCTGCTTCGAAACATTTTTTTTCTCAAACTGTCAGGGAAATGAAGAAAAAAATTGAGGGAAATTCTCAGGGACGCCACTACAGTGCATCGGCGCCCACAGCAAAAATGGCGCCCTTTTTAATTTGTTTGGCTCTCACCATCGTCATTGTCTAAATATATCAATGCTGACCTGTATTATCGGAGCGGAACTGCAGCTCGAGGCGGTGCCAGCCCAGCTTGATGATCAGGTCGGTGACGCAGTCCACCGGCGGGCTGACCTGCCGCTGGCCGTCACAGCGCGGGCCGCCCGCCAGCAGCGCCAGCGCCAGCACCAGCACCGGCAGCGGCGGCGGTGCGGCAGCCAGCATGACCGCCTCCGCCGGCACGGAGCGAGGCTGGGCCGTGCGGCGGCGAGCGGGGCGGCTGGCCTGTCGACGGCGGGACAGCGACACGCCGGGACGGCCGGCGGCGGGATGGCGGGTGGGCAAGCGGGTGGGCAAGCCGCTGGATGGCGGGTGGGCAAGCCGCTCGTTAAGGGGATTAATGACAAGCGGCTAAGCTCGGACGAGGTCGTGCGCTGCCGACGCTGGAGTCACCTGAACCGCCGTGGCGCCGCTGGGCTGGACCAGCGCGTGGGTTGGGCTGGAATCACCTGGACCACCGTGGCGCAGCTGGGCTGGACCAGCGAGTGGGGTGGGCTGGAGCCACCTGGACCAGCGCCGCGCAGGGATGCCGTTCGCCCCCGCGCGCTCTGCAGCCGTCTCGCCGGTGCACCGCGTGCCCGGAGGCCGCACGGCTGGTCGAGTGCCGGCGCACCGACGGCGAGGAGGCCGGCCACCGGCGACGGCGTCGGTGACCGGTGTCGGCGCGCCGACGAAGGCCCGACCGGCGGCGCTCCCCCACACGTGTGGTCACGACCCCCATTACAATGACACACCCATACCTACCGTGGGAGTGGCGCCGCGCCTCCAAATGTGTCGTCATATGGCGCACGGCTCAAACACTCGTGCCACAATAGACGGACTGGGGACGTTTCAGCCGGTCATTTGCGGCGCGCAACGCCAGCCGTCCTCGTCAATGAGCACACAGTGCCCCGGCGGGGTGGCGGCTCGAGCCCGGCCGCCTCCCACGGGAATTACCGGTGCCGACCACCCACAGTAGTCCGCGGCGCACCTTCGCCTTGTTCACGCCGTCGCGACAAATTAAACTGACAAAGCGCGGTCAGCGGTTCCACCTGTAGCCGTCAGCTGGCCCCCGCCGCTATTGCTGACGCTGTAGGAGGGCGCAGCGTCATCTAATGACAACAAAACACAAACGCAGCTGTCATAACGCCTGTATTTCTCCCCAATCGATGCAGCCATTCATAAACGCAGCCATCGCCGCGGAGATGCAGACAAAAGCAGCCACCGTCCGCACAATGCGACTCGACCACACAGTCTACCGCAGCCACTCGTGCTGCACCAGCCGCAGCGCGTTAGTTCGAACACGCTGCCCTTCTGACCTGGCCCACGTCACGTCTCCTCCAGCTCGGCGTCGGCAGCCGCCTTCTGCTCGGCCCAGTAGGCGGCCGAGGAGGCGCGACACTCGGGGTACCGTTCAGCCAGGAAGCTGCGCACCTCGCCGTGCTCGGCAGTCAGCGCCACACGCACCTGCCGCAGGCGGCGTCGTCTCAGGGCTGAGCGTCCGGCTTCGGCAGCGGCGCACCGCCCACCCGGACCGTGGCCACACGTGCAAAAGCCCGGCGCCTCGGCGTGGAAATCTGTAGTTGAGGACTGCACAGAGTGATATAATAAGAACTTACGGCAAAAGCCCCGGCGCCTCGGCGTGGAAGTCTGTAGTTGAGGACTGCACAGGGTGATATAATGAGAACTTACGGCAAAAGCCCCGGCGCCTCGGCGTGGAAGTCTGTAGTTGAGGACTGCACAGGGTGATATAATGAGAACTTACGGCAAAAGCCCCGGCGCCTCGGCGTGGAAGTCTGTAGTTGAGGACTGCACAGGGTGATATAATGAGAACTTACGACGCTATTCTGTACAGCAGAAGGTAGAAATAAAAACTAAGTCGTCTCATGTAAATATATTTGTTTTTGTGGTTTGTTTTTGTTTGATTAACATGTAAATATATTTGACTAAAGCTAAAAAATATTCAGCATTTTTGACGGGTGAAGTACAATATCGCCTTGAAGAAATCGCGAAAGTCGTGGCAAACATTAGCTCGGGTCCGCTCTACACAGCCTCCTTGCCAAACCGGCCATCGGTGGAACAGACGCATTGGCTCAACATGCCCCGCCAACCGCACAATACCACCAGGGACTTGGGTCCCCCCCCCCCCGGCGGGGGCGCCGCCCTACTCACCTGATCATGGTTCCGCTGATGCTGAACTTTCTTCAGATGCTTCTGATAGCCAGGCGACTTCATGTAAAACGGTAGCTTGGGCGGCATCTTCAGAGGCACCTTACCCTCGAAGATGTGCTGCCAGGTATATTGCCAGGTTGTCAGTCACTGATGGTCATTACTCGTGCGTGGCACGAAACACAATGAATTCAACTGATACCAAATACGGTGCACAATACCACGACGTACAGAGGATTAAGCTTCGAAGTCAACAAGCACTACATTCTGTTTCGAACGCTTTGTGTTTGCAATTCTGCTCACAGCAACGGCATCCGAAGAGCTTGTAGCGTGACCTTAACCCCGCCAGCTACGTAAGTCATGCCGCTTCCATACATTGCACGATTTCGCTACCGTCTTGTTTTGCAGGACAGAACCACGAGGAATCCTGCTCGTCATACAGCGCCACTAACGGAGAGCCCTGCGGGCCGTACAGCGCTACTAACGGAGAGTCCTGCGGGCCGTACAGCGCCACTACATAGAGAGCTCTGCGCGCCGTACAGCGCTACTGACGGAGAGCCCTGCAGGCCGTACAGAGCTACTACACGGAGAGCCCTGCGGGCCGTACAACGCCACTAACGGAGAGCCCTGCGGGCCGTCAGCGCTAATCCACGGAGAGCCCTGCGGGCCGTACAGCGCTAATCCACGGAGAGCCCTGCGGGCCGTACAGCGCTACTACACGGAGAGCCCAGCGCGCCGTACGACGCAACTAACGGAGAGCCCTGCGGGCCGTACAGCGCTTATCCACGGAGAGCCCAGCGCGCCGTACAACGCTACTAACGGAGAGCCCTGCGGGCCGTACAGCGCTAATCCACGGAGAGCCCTGCGGGCCGTGCAGCGCTACTAACGGAGAGCCCTGCGCGCCGTGCAGCGCTACTCCACGGAGAGGCCAGCGCGCCGTACAGCACTATTAACGGAGAGCCCAGCGCGCCGTACAGCGCTACTAACGGAGAGCCCTGCGCGCCGTGCAGCGCTAATCCACGGAGAGCTCTGCTCGTCATACAGCGCTATTAACGGAGAGCCCAGCGCGCCGTACAGCGCTACTAACGGAGAGCCCTGCGCGCCGTGCAGCGCTAATCCACGGAGAGCTCTGCTCGTCATACAGCGCTACTGACGGAGAACTCTGCGCGCCCATAATTACTGGCTCACAAAATGACTGAGCTATTATCTATGGACCGTTTACGTGGCTAACTTAACGCAGCTTAAGTGACTCAGGGCGGGTTACCCATCACAATATTACACGAAACATTGCGGTGTGTTGCACTGTTATTACGGACAGAGGCTGGCGTTGTGCTCGGCTCGGCGCGCTGTACAGCGCTACTAACGGAGGTCTCCGCGCGCCGTACAGCGCTACTACCGGAGATCTCCGCGCGCCGTACAGCGCTATTAACGGAGATCTCCGCGCGCCGTACAGCGCTGCTAACGGAGAGCCTCGCGTGTCGTACAGCTCTGCGTGCGCACACGGCCGCGTACTATCGAGTCGACCTGACGTGTTTAGCCAGTTGCCAGCTCGCCTTTTAACTTTGGTCGGACCACGCAATGCACACCTTCTGGGACTCGTGACAATTGCCGCTGGGTTACAAGTCTAGCAAATTCCCGGTTCACCACGGAAACGGCAAACACACACCACACGTAAAATGTCCCTTTCCACATCCACCAACATTCCATTTCCTTTTTTACATGCACCTGGAGCTTCGACTTGTGGTTAACCCCAACACAATTTCATCCGATTCAGGAATCAGGTACGGTCTGCATTGATTATTCAACATAATCAGACTAGATTCCGCTACTAAAATAACTGGCTCACAAAATGGCTGTTGAAGCAACTGTACAGTTATTGCGGATACAGGGGCCGGCGTTGTGGTAATGGTAACGTCGACACCCCAATATTTCAAGACCCATAAAGCAAACTGGCTTGTCGTGTAACCCTTAGCCTGACCATGTCGTCAAATATTTGAACTATTCCATCATTCACATACCGTGTCGAACGTCACCACGCGCGGTTATTGTGTTCATAAGTGTTCCCTTGCGTTCCGTGAAGCCGACATGACCATAACTCTACATTGTTCAGTTAATCGCAATTACCTGGCAGACTGTGGTACCAGTTAGAATATAGTCATACAGATGTTTATTTGCATATGCGTGCATCTTTATTTACCAACTGCATATTTTCACCAAGAAACTCGATTCAGATTCGGGAGCAGATTCGGAAATGGATTTACCATCAAAGCTAACTGAGTTGGAGTCATATTCAGGTACAATATCAATGTTCAACAGCCCACTTTAACCAGGCTCAGATTCAGCTCATTTCGCTCTGATTTGAATTCAGAACCGATTCCACCCAACTGTAGTCAAGCACTGGTCTGCTACAAGTCCGCTGCCAGTCAAGAACACACTATTCACTATAATTAGCAAAACCCGATGCGAATGGGGTTACCAGCACTTAAGTCATGTGCCCTGCGAATGTTGGCCATGGCTGCTCTCGGAAACGGCTCGTGACGACAAAATGCCGTCAAAATGTTGCAGCACCGTCTCATTCTGTCCACCACACTCCAGGCATATTTTGGCATCTCGCGACCAGCTCCATATCATCCCTCCAAGGACGTGAAATACCATGGCCCGGCGTGCCAGCTGCTCAGATGGCCTTATCTCGGTAGTCATGTCCGGCACAGTAGGCCATGTGGTTAAACAAGCCAGTTAGCATAAAACATGGGGCGGACCGTGCCGAGCATGTCGGCACGCTAGACATTCGGCACAAAATTCTACGTTTGGCCTGGGACTTCATGATCGGGGTGAAATCTGGGCTTACACGACAAGCACTGCTTAGCATGTGCTGATCCCAGAAATGCACCTAATCAAAATGTCCGAACAAAATATTTTCTTCTTTTTTAACCGCACGATACACGGTAATCACCGAAGGGAAATTGTGTTGCTTAAGCAGTATCCAGATTGTGACATGGTGGAACCTGCCACAGTGTAACGTCCAGCACCCCCTCGAGCCAGTTCCGGCGTCTGACACAGTGCATCACTCAGCACCCTTCGGGCCAGCTCCGGCGTCTGACAGTGTACCACTCAACACCCCTTCGAGCCAGCTCCGGCGTCTGACACAGTGCACCATCCAGCACCCCTTCGGGCCAGCTCCCGCGTCTGACACAGTGTACCGTCTAGCATCCCCACCCCCAACCCCAGGCCAGCTGCCGCGTCTGACACGGTGCACCGTCCAGCACCCCCTCGAACCAGCTGCCGCGTCTGACAAGGTGCTCCGTCCAGCACCCGTTCACGGCAGCTGCCGCGCCTGACGCGATGTACCCCGCCGAGCGGCACTGACCAATTGGAAGTCGAGCTGCTCGTCGGGAGGGATCTCCTCCCTGGTGCGGGCCCGGCCGTCCGAAGGCGAGGCCACCACGCGCGGGTAGTTGTCAGCCTCCGGGCGCAGCTCCACCAGGTGCAGCCGCTTCTCGTCCGCCAGCTGCTGGTGCGTTCGCTGTGCGTGACGTCACAGCGGCATCAGCGATCTCAGCGCGGCACCGACGCGCCCCGTTTCACCGGTCCAGGAGTCCGAGCGGAGACGTCAGCTTGACAGAGCAATACCCTCCATCTCCTTCCCACTATCATTCAATATAATCTCCTCTTCTAATCTTATCATACATAATAGTATAGTACAATCTTCAAATACCTATGAAAATGGTAAAGTCTCCACTCCTGCAACGTCAACGAAAAACACAACACTGTAGCAGTGATCATGCACCAAAAAAAGATAACAACAACAAATACCCCGACCAAATCAGCCTAAGTACTCTAAACTCACAACACCGAAAAACCAGGAACTAAAAGCTCCCCTTGTATACATCAAGTCTCTGAGGCAACACCATACGCATAGCACAGGAGCCTGGTCGGCGCGCCGGACGCTCACCTGCCTGAGCAGGCCCAGGAAGAAGGCCCTGGTGATGTTCTGCACATTGTCGGTGGGTCCCTCGACCTTGGCGTAGAGGTCGCTGATGCCGACGCGATGGCACACCTCCCGGATGGCGCGGTGACACTGCAGGCCGTGGCCCCGTGGCCGACGCTCCACGAAGATGCGCACGGCCGCGAACCGCGTGAAGAAATCGTGGAACACTGCCGGGCGGGGAGGGCGGAGGAGTCAGCGGCGCCAGGACGGCACCAGGGGCGAGCTGCTGTGCTCATGTTGGTGTCTTGTTCTGCTGCTGCCGTACGTGGGTTCGGTATTCTGGAGCCGGAAGATGGCCCCGCAGCACTCCGTGTCTGCTTTCTCCAGCTACAGGAAATAATAAACCAGTCACGCACACGAGCCATGTCATTAAGTACAACAGCCACATGCACCCAATTTAACCAGAATCCACATTTGCTCCCTGGTCAACAGTCCCAACAGCGACTTGACAATCAATCAATCCTTTTGACAAGAACCCAATCGTCGCCAAACCGCAATACATAGTCCACACACGCTATGCTAGATTCCCGTCTGAGACAATCAATACAGCACAGGTCCGTCCTCAGCATCCGCTGACAGCGGCCGAGAGCGTCGCCGCCTCCTCGGCAGCGGCCCGGCCCGGCCGAGCCCCGGCCGCTGCCGTACCGGTGTGGCCGTCGCAGCGCTCGATGTAGATGAGCCGCTGAGAGGCGCGCCGCTTGCACTGCTTGATGGCCGCCTGGCCCGTGTTGCCCTTGCCGACCCCGAAGCCGGCCAGACCGGCGCCGTTGCCGGTGACGGCGAAGCAGCTGATGTGGCGCGTCCGGCCGGCCGTGGCCGTCATAGAGAACACCGTCTTCAGCTCCAGAACGGTCGTGTCGAAGCCCTCGAACGTCTCTGTAGGAGACACGCGACCAGACCGGTCAGAACTGTTCGCCAGCGTCGACACCATCGGCTGCTGCGCCGGGCAATATGCAGCGGGTGAATGGCGCAGATGGTTGGGCACATTCCCCGCGGTTCAGCCGCATCTGTCACGGCCTCTGATTCCCAACAAAGCTTGTATTTTATGTTAAAAAAATGCTACAACCAAGGCTGAGCATTGCGAAAAAAAGGACAATCACTGACACACGACGAATAACTAGACGCGAGGGCGCATGATATAATAGTGCAAAAACCGTTCTTGACGGTAAAGCGCAGCTTGCAAAAGTCCCGATACACAACAGCGCTACAGCCGACTGTAGCCGCTACCACCCCAAAGTACACGGACCTGATCAATAGCAGCTACCACAACACAGTACACGGACCTGATCAATAGCAACTACCACACCACACCAACACCACAGAAGACAGACCTGATCAATCGCAGCTACCACACCACGGTAGACGGACCTGATCAAAGCCACTATCACACCATGGTAGACGGACCTGATCAATAGCCGCTACCACACCACAGTGCATGGACCTGATCAATAGCCACTACCACACCACGGTAGACGGACCTGATCAATAGCAGCTACCACACCACATTAACAGGAGCTGATCAATAGCTGATACCACAATACACTAGACAGACATGATCAGGTCAGCTGCCAGCAAGCGTCACAACACGGAACCAAGCACTTCTCAGCACCGCCTCCCCCACAACATGCACACACCGGCCGGCCGGCCTCCGCGAGCGGACGGCGCCTGGCTGGGTGCCCACCGAAGTCGATGGGCTCCGGTGGTCCGATGCTGCGGCCCGCCAGCTTATTGCCGGACCAGCCGCGCTCCAGCGGCCCCAGCTTGACCGAGCGATGGTCGGTGAACTGCTCGCGGATCTGCTGCAGGCGCGCCGCACGCTCCGGGTCCTCCGGCAGCTGGCGCTGGCGCACCAGCTCCTGACCGCGGATCACCGGCGTCGTCAGGCCCGGCCACACCATGTTTTCCTTGCCTGCGGACGACGGCGCGGCGGCGTTCAGCACGACCATAACAAGACAGACGACGGCCGAGCGGCAACGCGCGACGGCACAGTCGGCGAAACGCCCCAATGCCGCCGGAGATCCGAGTTCGACCCCCGGCTGTGACTGCCTGCCCGCTAAACGCTCATATGGTCATCGCAGTTGCTGCGCTCCAGAAACGGTCCCCTTAAAACAAGCATCGTGCATGCCTATAAAACGCCAGCAAAACGGAAGCGAGAGTCAAAATACACATAATAACCCCGGTCCAGTTAAGAGACGCCGAGTGGTCTGGGCCGCGCGGCACCACTCACCGACGCCGATGACTTGGCCGCGGTTGAGGTCGCGCTTGCGCTTGGTGCCGGCGCCGCGGCCGCGGCCTCGCTTGCGGCCGGCGTTACTGACCCCGGTGACGCCCTTCCAGATCTCGTGGGCCGTCACTGCGGCCAGAGGGCGGCGCCAGTCAGCGCCAGCACGTTAGTCACTCGGGTCGAACGCAAGTGGAGTAAGCTGATATCTAGAACACGTGGTCACATATGGTGTATGGTGCCTTTCTATATTGATAAGGCTCATGTAGGCTACAGCCCTCATGTCAGCATTAAAAGTCATCACCCTGACACAGGATTTAACATATCTCACTACAATGTAAGTTTTTGCACAGCACTTAAGTTTTGACCACATTTATTGCATCTTTGTTACAACCATTCTCCCAGGCATTCAGCACACTGCAATCAACACTCTGACAGCTTCTATGCCAATATTCATTTCACTACCAGCACAACACACCCATTTAAGATGCTGTAAGAAACTCACATCTTTCATGGAGAACACAGAATGAATATACTGAAGGTATACAACCCTTGATGTGCTAAGATCCTTTGGAAGTAGCATGACAAATTTTGAACTCTACAGTCAAATCTAACACTGCATTTTTACAGAGCAGTGAAACATCAATAATATGTTTCCACTTACAGTTGGTGAAAAAACCAGCATTCCGGGTTTGTTGCTTGCTTATGATTCTGTGGTCATCTTTCAGCTTCTGATTAGGCACTTTTAATGCCAGACAGCAGGCAAGTTGATGAAATTGCTGAGCTGAAAGCAAACGAGTCTAGACAAAACAATAACACACATACCAGTTCAGCTGGTAAGGGCTTGGTGGGTTCAGCCTCTAACTGGGATGGCCTGGTTGGATGCTTGATTCTGACCTGTCTGCAATGGTTCTAGCTATCATGAGTAAGGACTGCAAGGAAATTATACATGAGTTTTTTTGCAAGAAAAGAAGCCCCATATAAGCCATTTAACCACTGTCCATGTCATGTCACCAATAGAAGCCATAACCTAAATACAAGTTCATACCAGTCATTAATTTCCCAGACGCACAGTTGGCAGGAATGCAGGTGTATGGTGTCATGTGCCTAGGGCCCAATGAGAATGTTGCATGATTGTGATCAAATGCAGCACACATGATAGTATAATTATATTTATGGCCTTCACTGCATGATGAATATCATAAATCTAGTGTCTTTAAACTTGGTTTGGAATGTGCATATGTATGAACCACACCATAACTGTTTAAATGCTATATGACAAAATGGCCTGAAACTCCTAAGAAAGAGGAAATATCTTTAACCATCACAAAGCTCAGTATTATATGGCACACAAAACATACAGCAACTACTGAACTGTTATATAAAGACATCTTAGCTGCCCATGTCATTTGTCATTGCTGTGCATTAGTGCATGTGGCCTCTTAGGCCCAAGCATCCATCCTGAAGCATAAGTGACTTCTTGAGTTTCTGTATCTTGAAGACTTTTGTTCTTGACCTGGTCTGGTGTTAAACATGAGTGGAAAGAGATAAGTGTAGCATGAAATTGACTTTGCCATGTTGCTCCAGAACTTCAATAATGCCTTTTCCACCCATCTAATGAATACATCATTTTGTGACCAAACACCCAACACATGCTCATCCGTGCAACTGTATACACTTCCACCTTGTCGAAACGTAACACATCACCCTCACCTGTAGCAGATGCAGCTAGGTTCTGACCTCCTGCCCGAATACACAAGGTTGCATGCAGCAGCCTAGAAGCTCCAAGTTTAATGGCAAACATGACTGTGACAGGCCCACAAATTGAAATCAGGCATCAAACTACGGCCATATCGTACCATCAAAATGTTTACGACCGCCGCCTATCCCACAACCCGAAACCCACCCCTGCAACATTCATGGAACGACTTGAACGAAATTGCACATTCTGGTAAATGTCTACAAATAGTTGACGCAAACGGCTGACTGATCAAGAAGGTATGTTTCCACAGCGGAATAGATTGCTGTCTTACTTTGCATATTATTCGTCATATCTGTGTCTTGTGTCACCCAAATTATTTATTGTTTTTTTCAAAATGATTAAATTTAAATTTCTACCCACACTTCTGAATTAATTGAATATTCAAAAGGCTATTTTTGATATTTAAGTAGTGCATTATGGCGCGATCGTTACGTTAGCGCCATTAGCCACCTTTTCTACCACGCCCGCTCTCTTAGAACGATATCATTTACAACGTTTTTAGATTGGTGGGAGGCGACGGTCGGGTATTGGTGGAAGCGTTCCGCAGTGTTCCGTCATTCCCGTGTTGTTGTGGCCATCGACGACTGCGGTAACACGGTGGAATATATACTGGGGCCCAACATTTCTTTCCTCCAGCAGTAGTGCAATCTCAAGTCTGCAGGAGACGGATACGTTGCAGTACCGCTTTTTCAAGGCTACTTCGATGGCGAACTACCCTGTAAGAACCAGGCCTAGCATTTTCAAAGTTTGCATTAAGGCAGATGGGCCATGCAGACAAATGTTTTTTTTATTGTTCCAATGGTCATTTTTTTGGCAGCATGAAGCCAGTCTGCAAAAATCACTTCGCTGAACTCTGTGTGCCCCAGAATGAGGCCAGGCCAAATTCCACTGGTATTTTATTTCTTATTGTAAGACAGAATAATGATAAGTGTGTCTTGAATTGCCTGCATTATGCTAATTCCGTGCAACATTGCTTCTCTGCGCCCTGAAATTGGTAGTGACTGCACCAAACTTTGATGGCTCAGGTTTATGGCATACATGTCCTGCAGCTGGTAATGCCTCAAGCGTTCAACATAATATGTGCATGTCATAGTTTGGGCATTAGGTACCCTACCCACAGTAGCTTTGTATGATGTTTTTTGCATGTCATGATCAGGGTTCTCTTTATTTTTCTGGTAGTCTTGTAGCTGCATTTAAAAAAAAAAATGTTGGGGGTGGGCAAGTATAATATTACACATTATGATGGGCCCCTGTCTGTTTGATGGTCACCAGATTGGTAGATTGAAATGGTTAGTTTATTAAATTTGGATATGTCTCAGCTTTTGTTGTGTTTGTTTACAAAATGTGTCCATGCCTTGGTCCTAAAATAATGCATTTTGCGGGTTGAGAAAAAATGTTTGCATTAGACCATAAATTTAATGGAATGGGGCTTTGGGAAAAGGGTGTAGGTGTACTTTCCTACCTCACGTTAGAAAAAATCATTGCACACCATTCGTCGTGTTCAAGGCGGCACATCGTAAATCATCTCAAAACAGGTAGAATCATGCTCCTACCTTCGAATTTCAATAACTTCGATGGCGGAGCGCCGCGCGCACTGCACCGCCCGGACTCCCCAGTGCCGTTTCTGCGTTGCCGTCGCGTAAATACAATATTTCTGCTTACCAAGAACTCTACAAAATGTACGGGACCAAGGTAAACCATTCGTCTTGTTTAAGGCGGAACATATCGTAAATAATTTCAAAACAGGTAGAATCATGCTCCTACCCTCGAATTTTAATAAATACGATAGCGAGCTCCCGAGCGCCGCACGCCCCGCACCGCACTGCCTCGACTTCCAAGCGCCGTTTCTACGTTGTTGCGAACGCACAATATTTCTGCTTATCAAGAACCATAAAACATGTACGGGACCAAGGTAACAATAATAAAGCAACCAAAATCGTTTCTTATCGAGTTTAGGTACATTTATGAAACACGCAGGCCAGAATAGTCCAGAACATATCCTAACCTAACCTAACCTAACCTAACCTAACTGAGAATAGACCAGAACCTAAGCTAAGCTAAGCTAAGCTAGCCTGACCTGACCTGACCTGACCTGACCTGACCTAACCTAACCTAACCTAACCTAACCTAACCTCCCCACCCTATATCCCCTTCAACCCAGCATCTCATTGGCATCCATGTTCCATGCCATATATAGGTGCCATATAGTGAGCTTTTATTTAGCTGCCATGTTCTCATTTTGCTTGACATTTCCCACCCAATCCCCCTGCAACCCATGGTCCCGTTGGCGTCGAGGATCAAATTTCATGGATTCTTGCTACCTTGTCCGGTACATTTTTATGGTTCGCAGTAAATATGGTTTATAGTTATAGTATGGTTTATATAGTATAGTTTAGTTATAGTTATGGTTTATAGTATGGTTCGCAGTTAATATGGTTTATATGGTAAATATGGTTATGGTAAATATGGTTTATGTTCAGTAAATATTTTTGTGGTTCGCAGTTAGGTTATGGTTGTCCTGCCTTAAACATGACGAATGGTTTACTTTGGTCCCGTACATTTTGTACAGTTCTTGGTACGCAGAAATATTGTATTTACGCAACGGCAACGCGGAAACGGCGCTGGGGAGTCCAGGCGGTGCGGTGCGCGCGGCGCTCGGGGGCCCGCCATCGAAGTTATTGAAATTCGAAGGTAGGAACATGATTCTACCTGTTTTGAGATTATTTACGATATGTCATGCCTTAAACACGACGAATGGTGTACAATGATTTCTTCTAACGTTAGGTAGGAAAGTACACCCTGACCGGGAAAAGTTTTCTAGGTGGAAGTAACATGCTGCTTTAGAGCATAAATATACTAATATATGATACAACTTCATGGCTTTGATTGGCTTCCAGGGCCAGCAGCCAAGTGGCGGTCTGGATCCTAAGGCTGCTACATGGTTCCGAACAGTGGACCGGGACAACTCGGGCCGCATAACTGCGCAGGAACTGCAGCAGGCGCTCTCCTCTGGCAACTGGCAGAAGTTTGACATCTCATGCTGCAGGATGATGATTCGTAAGTGTATCACTGCCTTGCCAGTTTTTTCATGTTTGGTTCTAAGGTATCTGGGTTGATAAAGGGTTAAGCTGTGCTGGGAATATGCACTACTCATGTGCACTAGATATATAGATAATTTAAACATTCTTTTGTGAAGTATTGTTTTTCCACAATCTTATGAGTGATAATGTTTACCAATGCTCTAGGATAGACAGTAAAAATATTATGTTTGAATGGCACTGACTTTCTGTGGCTATGTAGATAGTAGTATCTGTGATGCCAGCTCCATGCATCTTGAAGGTAGTGTCTGATGCCTGTTACATGTTTTTTTAAAAGCAAGTAGTGCAGTGCAGTTCTCTGGAAAATAATCAGTGCTGTATTGTCATTTCCTTAAATACTGTCTGATCTGACAGGATCTATTGATAGCATTGTTTTTGCCACAGGCCAACAGGTCAACCCATTATGAAAGCAATTTTGAGGTTCCATAACTGTTTTTTGGGATCAGCAAAAATCAAAAGCAACCACCAGGCTATGTGAATGTCTCTTCTACAAATCACCAAGCAGTTAACACTGTACAACTCACAGGTGTGCCTGGGTTTGGCTGGGAAGTAGTCAATACCATCTTAGCTTGTGGCTTCAGGTTATGCCAATTTCACTGGTTATCTGCCATGCTTGTAGGGGCCACAAATACAACACTGTGTGGCCAAACAACACCCATGTTTAAATATTTGGTTTAAACCTTTTGGTTCAATAGGCTCCTGGAATCAGAGCCATCATAATCAGCTTGTCTTGTGTGAGCACTGAACCCACCATCTGATCTGGGAGTTATGGGTCAGTGACGTCATTTTACTGCGGAAACTACACGGTCGCAATGCTGGGCACGGTCCTCTCCGCTTCCTGGCGTTATCTGACCTCTGGAGCAGCCGCTACCACCGGTGACAGGCCATACCAACAGGGGCAAATAGCTTGCACCCTAGGCGACTCGAAGCCATACCGCCAAGGTTTGGTGAGTCGGAGGGTAGATACACTGACCAAATGCGTTATGGGGACAAACAGCTGAGGCATTGGTTGGGAAACCGAGCGGTGGGGGCTCTTAGGTCTTCACAGACGGAGGTAAGTCCATGCAAACTAGCCAGGCACATGTGTGAGTTATCTCTCTCCAACACCCTCCCAAAGCATTTGCAGTTTTCTCAGTGATGATGACCAAAACGTAAGTCATAAGCATATTGATGTCGTCGACTGCAATTGCTGGGCCTGGCACGCCTGTCCTGTGTCCAGACCCAGAGGCCGTCACGTTCCCTACACTGATTTGTGAATTTCCGTGCAACAGTTCCGTCAGTTGTGCAAATTCTGCCAACTAAACTGCCATTGGTGCCGTTCTTCCAATGTAGTGATCATGCACATGCAGTGTTGGAAATTCCAGAAGTTTTCCTGGTAGCAGAGTACAAATTTTCTATAGTGGAGTGCAAAATCATTCAAGCACTGCAGGTCATTACAACTTTATATTATCTTTGAGAGATAATAGTACAATGGGTGGCACTCAACAAAACGGCCACTTTTCATATGCAGCAATTCATGTAAAAGCACTAAAAACACTGAAAGGAAACATCAGTTTTAAACATGGCACATTGAAACAACACAGTCTCATACTCTGTACTATGAAACACATGTGCATATACATTGGTTTGCAATTTATGAAAGGCTCTGTCTATACACCCTCCAAAATGGAGGGTAACTATGCATCGGGTTTATACACTCTCCACAATGGAAGGTAGCTACACACCGGGCTTATACACCCTCCAAAATGAAGGGTGGGCATGATGCGCACAGCCAGACGAAAATGGTACACAAAAAATACAAACGAACATGCCACAGACGGCCACCTACTCACGCTCCACCACGGTCATGCTGCTCACGCTCCACCACGGTCATGCTACTCACGCTCCACCACGGTCATGCTACTCACGCTCCACCAGCTAACTGGTTTTAAAAACAGCTCAACATTCATGCCCTCCACCTTCCCATTCCCGGTCAACACGAGAGGCCATGCACGTCCCACCTGAACAATAGAGACAGGCAGCACTCTTAACCGATTTGCCGAGCCAGCGCAAGTACAATGCCTGACAGACCCGTGCAGGCCGGCCAAAAGGGATCAGAGCCAGTCACTCCGCTGGCTCCGGCGGATAATGCAAGGTATTAATGGATTTTGATGCGCTTGAACCGATATCAGTGCGAAATATGGTAATTTATGTTGCAAGCAATTGATGTTTATGTCATAATTAACCCTTCTCCTTAACTGGCGGGCAAAAGTTGTGGGTTCATGCTACTCTGGTGTCCTGGGTTTTTGTCAGAGGAGATGACTGTCTCCGAGCAGTTTTTTGGCTATTTAGAGCAACTTTTTCGACTTAAAAGGGTATTTTTGTAAAACCTGAATTACCAGCTTTAATTTTACACCCTTAAGTGACAAATTTAACTTGGTTTAAATCCACAGCTGCCGTAACATTTTTGCACACCGGATACCAGGAAGTGCCCAAAAACCCAACCACATGGCAGCTCTCTATGAGAACAAATAAGTCCTTCTTCGTAATCATGATGCCCATCTCTATACAGCTACCCTCCAAATGTTGACAAATCTGTTCAAGACATGGGCGCGAGTAGAATATTCATGCTCTTGACAAATCAGTCACAAGGAGGCGAATCATTAAAACCAATTGGAGAGTTTTGCTATGTTCAGCCTCCATCCTGAGCTGGGAGGCGGGCACAAGCCACTGAATAGTTGAGACGTTTCCGACACTGAATTGCGAATGATTATCTTATGCGCATTGCCATGACACAGCTGTGGCGCTCGGGTAGGCGGCCGTCTGCGGTAGATGATTGGGCGTGTGGTTTTCTATGAATGTTCGTTGCATCCCTGGTAATTAATGCGATCCGTCGTCAATGGTAGGTTGAGTCATGTTCAAGTTTGAGTTGGTCTGCGTAAGGCATAGGAAGTGAGAGCTTTGCTAATCTACAGACCGGTGCGATTCTGGTACTCGTTTCTCATTTCCCGGTATTGTTCAAAAGCGATTCCATTCAACATTCACGTGCCTTATTTTTCATATTTCCATACATGGTTTATCATATACCTGGGTGGCAACACAGGCTGCTTGCTATTGGGCATCTTAGTCTGGTGGGTGCAAGATTTGTGCTCTTGTAGATATCAATACATGGCTCCTGATCGAAGCATTAAGTCTCGGGGTGTTGCATCTTCTGGTTCTATTTTGTCCTGACACAAAGAGGTAAAATGAGGTCTTCCAAAAGCTGTTCTTGTTGTATCATTATGGAGTCCAAAATATTTCATTTTACCTAGTCACAATCCTGGAGTACAAAATTTCCTGGTATGCATCATACCAGGAAACATCAAGTTTTCCAACACTGTGCACATGTATTTCAGTTTGTGGCTTTTGTGGCAGCTGTGGCTTCTGTGGCTGCCATGATTGCTATCGCCAGACAGCTGGAGTCTTGACTTAGTGCTTTGGCAGAGCCAAAGCACTAAGTCACAAGATAGATCTGCCACAAGATCGATCTGAAGAAGGGTCTTTGCCAAATTTAAGCATAGCTCCATACTTTCATTGACACATCGTTATGCGACAGTGTTGCTGTGTGCTTGAGTCATTCGTTTGTTTTGCTCCAGGGATGTTTGACAAGGACGGAAACGATACTGTCGACATAAACGAATTTGGCCATCTGTTCAACTATGTCAATGCCTGGATCTCAGCATTCCAGAAGTATGACACTAACAAGTCGTCGAGCGTAGATGCCAAAGAGCTGCAGCAAGGTACGGATCGACTGCCTTTGTTTGTCGCCCGTTCGTATTCCAATCCTCCGCCCAGTGTTTTTCCTATCTCCCATAAGCATTTCAATGATGCACCATTCACAACTCTTTCAGCGTGCTGCTCAGAATCGGGTGTCAGGCAAGATGTTGTTTTTGTTTGCACTCAACTTAAGAGCTATGTCAAACGATGCTAATTGTTTGATATTGCTGTGTCCAAAGTTTGGCTCACGACCGTGTCTATTAATTTTTCCTGTGTTATGTCTCGACTCTAAAGTCTAGCTCGTCTTCATTCTCATGCGCATGGGCCACCGTTCGCGCCAGGCAACTGTGAACCGGCGATCAGTGAGTGGGACACGGCGAGGCCTCAATTACACTTCGTGCGCATAGCCCGCTAAGGATGCCCTCGCTTCGGCAGCCTTCGCCGAGATGGGCTACCGCCTGTCACCGGCCTTCGCTGAAAGCGTGCTGAAGAAGTACGACGTGAACAAGTCCGGCCAGATCACCGTCGACCACTTCATCCTGTCGTGCATCCAGCTGCAGAACCTGACGAACGCCTTCCGTGCGCGAGACTCCGCCATGAAGGGCATGATCCAGATCGGCTTCGAGGACTTCCTGTCCACGTGCTTCAAGTGCACGGCGTGACCGGCCTGACACGGGAGCGGGAGCGCGGGAGCCGGCCGGGTGGTGCGGGCTCCCGCCGCGGTGCGGACAGATCTGAAGGCGCATCGGGAGTTCGTGGCCGCGTTACCCTGCTCATGAGCATTGGCTCTTGGAACTTCGCCTGAGTGGAGACGACCATGCGAGATCCGGTTTAGTGATTTGGGCGTTTCTCATGCAGTTTTTTGTTTCGCTACAGGCGGGCCTTCCGCTTTGTATGCTGGGCGTGTGTCACGCTGCTCCTTGCGGCCCATACCCTGGCTGGATATCTGTTAGACTTTGTTATTGGTGCACATTCAATATTTGCCTAGCGCCCATGCTGCCTTAACTGTGGTGCATTATTTGCATGTGCTTTTGGCATGGAAGGCAAACATGTTTTTCGTGTGGAAAAGTGGTAATATCCATATGCCAAAATGTAAGGAGGTGTGCCAGATCTGTTTCGAGCACGGTGCTTTGTGGGTAGCCTTATTTCCCGTGTGGTGTCGTATTATCTCACTCTAGTGCTGTATGGTCTCATGAAATCTCGCGACTTTGTCTTCAGTTCTCTTGAGCACAGTACACTGTCAGCAATGGTCAACTTTGTCGAAGGGCAAGCCTTTGCCACGAGCACGACCACGGCTGTGCGGCTGCCGTCCCATGATGATGACCGCGGCTGTGTAGCTGCCGTCTCACGAGCACGACCACAGATGTGCAGCTGCCGTCTCACGAGTACGACCGCGGCTGTGCAGCTGGCGTCTCACGAGCACAACCACGGCTATGCAGCTGCCGTCTCACGAGCACGACCACGGCTATGCAGCTGCCGTCTCACGGGCACGACCACGGATGTGCAGCTGCCGGCTCACGAGCACGACCACGGCTGTGCAGATGCCGTCTCACGAGCACGACCACGGCTGTGCAGCTGCCGTCTCACGAGCACGACCACGGCTGTGTAGCTGCCGTCTCACTAAACCGCGGTTGCCGACGACCGCGGGATAGCGCGATGGATTACTTGTGCTACCACCACCGATTGAGACAGATTGTTTCAGTTGTGTGCTAAACGCTCCCCATGCTATCTTACTGGGGCTCAAAGTTCTCGTCTCAGCGACTCGTTGGAGAACCTTGGGGTGTTCTGAGTGTGTAGGTCCCAACTACTTAAGCTGTCTCGTGAATTTCTGATGAATTTCTGTGCGGAGGAAGAACCTTATCGTGTTTGTAGATGGAAACTATCCCACATAAGATGATTCCCGTGGAATAGTGGTGGAAGCTGGTGTCCAAAGCTTTTAGTAGAAATGAATAAACAATTTGATGAAACACTAGGAACACAATGATAAGGGCTCTGGTCCAGGAACACTTAAAGCCCCCCACCAGGTGCGAAGTCTTGCAAATCTCTGTGGTCAAGTGAGCTTGGCGGAATATGACAGACATGAACCCCAGCCTCGTTTCACGCCAAACGCAATTTATAGCCATTTTTGCTTGGAGGGGAGCAGCTGGAGCACGTTGAAATGAGTACGAAACTACGCCATGACCCGTGCCCGCCAATGATTTTTTCGTCTGTGCTTCCACTTTATTATGCCACTCATAACAACAGATTAATCATTTAAACACAAGAGGCACTAACTATAGAAATTAGATAAATGTGTACTGTTTGGTGGCCGCCGGCGAGTACAAATTCAGCGATGGAACAAAGAATTACACGTCTAGCGTATTAATCCTCATATGAATAGCATGGGTAGCCGCTAGGAGCATGAACATAGCCTAGAACTCGATAGCTTCGATCACGTCGCCGTGGAGCCCCCTCCAGCCGGTGAGCTGTTTTGTGGTGCTGCTTCGCTGTTGCGCGATCTTGGCTTCCTCATGGCGCTCGGCGTCGGCGGCCATCACCTCTGCGGCCAGCCAAGCCGTTTCAGGCGGCACCGGCTCTAATGTCTCCTCCTCCTCCTCCTCCTCCTCCTCTTCCTCCACTTGGAGCGGGTCAGGCCCGCCGACCAAGGCCGGGTCGACATATTGCCGCGGTTCGCGCCTCCAACCGACGTGCCGGCTCTTCAGCAGCGACTCCACCTGTCGGCAAATGCGGGCATCTCTATTTGTGCCCTCGCACGCCAGGCAGTAGCTATACCTGAATGACCTTGGGCGGGACACCACGGTCATCGGTACGTTTGCACCTTTATGTCCAACTCAGGTGGAAAGGGCAGCACCAAACTTGTTACTGGCCTTTAGGGATAAGGCGGCCGAATCTACCACCGTGTCATGCTTCAACTAAAATTAGTGTTATTACGACAGGAGCGGTGCCTGCGACACTATTCGGGATCGCTGTACTCTCAGCCCCTTGCTCCATTATGGTTCGTTCCCGCTCGATCCTAACCGCGCTCGCGTTGACGTCTCTCGTCTGGCGTCCTAGATCCTGTCTGACACTTTGCGCCTCTTCCAACGCGCTTCGTCTCATCTAGCCCTGCGCCTCACCTGGTCGCGGACTCGGGTGCGGCGTTCCTTGCCGAGCCGCTGAGTGGAGGCGGCCGCTGCCAGCACCAGCAGCACCAGCACGCTCAAGAGTCGGTGGCTGCACATGACGGCGGCGTGCCTACGAGTGCGCGGCACGGCGCGGCCGGCGCCGCCCCCCGGGCGGCTCCGGTGTCGGTACGCAGCGCGCCGGCGGACGGTGCCGGGTGGTCCGCGCACCCGCACCCGAAATCCATCCCGGTTGTGGCGCCTGCTCGGACTGGACCGCCGATGTTGAGATGCGGGCTGGGAGGAACGAGAGGTTGGCGAGCAAGGCATCGCTCAATAGACGCTCATAGTTGGGTAATTCGAGTCGAGCTGGAGACATCCCGGACGGCCAAAATCCGACGGTGTTGCCAACCCGCACAGTAAGTTGAATATTAGTTATAACTGGGCTAGGTACACTGGGTGCCGACTAGGTTTTATAGTAATTTATGCAATTTATAGCGCAAATCGCTTCCGAACGAGCCAAAAAGTTATTTCCTCTATTACTCGATGGTGACTTGGATCACGAGGTACAGTGGTGCGGTGTTCACACCGCCCTGACGCAATGTGTGATGGCCGTATTCTGTCACCCGCCCGCACCTACTCGAATGAGCAGCCAGCCGATTCGCACCAAACCATCAACAAGATGCGCCGAGGCGATTGATGGTTATCACGTGCCGCTGTCCATCTCGAAATCCTCGCCCATCCCCGCACTCCTCACATCAACTCAAGCACACCTGCATAAAGCCGCCAATGCCAGCACGTAGTTTATTACACCGCTGGAATGCTGGCCATTGCCCCATATGACTGTCCTACGTCATGGCTTCAACATCCGGCATCAGCCGCCCAAAACTCAAGCCCCCCTCACACTGGCAGTGCACCAGAACCCCGTGCCCGCGTCACACGCAAACACACGTGTCCAAATGGCAGCGCCACCTCAAACTCTGTCAGCCTTTGAAGCACAGCCGATCAGCGCGTTTGGCGGCCAGTGGCGCCGCTCGGCCGCCGCCTGCAGCGGCCAGCCAGCGCGCCCGCACGCCGCTCTTCACAGCACAACAAGAGTCCGAAGCTAACGCGACCGGGAATGTACGCAGCAACAGATTGTCAACGCGAAGCGTTTAAAGGTTTGTTGCTATTGCGACACCTCACGCCATCTAAAGCGGTGAACGGCTCACTACTGAGTGCGAAATGACTGCCAAAAACGCGCCCGAACCCATCAACGGGGCAGACCGGCGTCTTTCTCCACAGCTGCCGCAGCCCAGCCGGTCCGGCTGCACGGGCCGGCAGCCGCCACTGGAGGCCCGCGGCAGCCGCGGCGCGCCGCGCCACCCCGAGCAGCGGCGGCCACCTGCCGTGGCGTCGCGAACAGCATACAGCGGCCGCAGCGCTGACGGCGGCCTGCCCGAGAGCTCAGATCTCCGGACTCGCCGTGCCGGCAGCTGGCGACGCCGGCCCTCCCTCGCCGCCGGTCCGCTCCGCCGGCCCTCCCGCCGCGCCGGCCAGCTCGGCCGGCTCCGTCGCGCCGCCCGGCTCCGGCTCCGCGGCTAGCTCGGCGCGGCGGCTCCTGACGACGCGACGGAGGGTGCGCAGCAGCTCGGCCGGTTGCCGGTAGAGCAGCCGGCCGTCGGCGCCGTCCACGGTCACCCGGCGGCCCGGCAGGCGGCGGGCGCCTGCAGCCCAGGCGGCGTTGAGCTCCGCTGGCAGAGTCTCGTCGTGGTAGTTGCCGGTGAGGACGGTGACGGTGAGGCGGGCCGGCAGTGGACGCAGGCCGGCCGCCAGCCGCACCTGCGCGGCGCTCTCGTTCAGGAAGTGGTGCTCGTCCACCACAGTGCTGGCGTGGCGCGGGTGGCACAGAAGGTGTTTCTGGCGGGTGGACGGTGGCATTACGTGGACAGGCGGCGATAACGGACTGCAGTATCTCGGATGCTGTCACACGACTCAACGAAAGGCGTCAGCGTCCCACGGCGTAATCACATGCTTCGCAGCATCATAAACACCTTATGCTTCCAACAGATTCGTCTGTGCATCACACCCCAGTGCACGACGCATCGTGCTTGTAATGTAATGCACAAACATTTGCATGTTCCCAAGACACGCAGCAGACAATAATTTACACACCAGGATGTGCGTTTGCAAGGGCTCAAGCTGCTCAAGACGGCGTGCAGCTCCGAACTCCGGCGGATGTCCGCAATCACTGCCTCGAAAATATCTGAAATTGATGGACGCCTGCTGTGTCTGTTGGCAGTGGACTAACCTAACTGTCTACAACACGACGCTGAACTGCCAACCTGTCTGTTGATGACGGTGTCTCCCAGCTGATCGGCCACCTCGTGCAGCGGAGGCTCCATCAGGCCGGCCATGAGCATGGGCCGCACCAGGCCGGCCGCCGCCGCCACGTGCAGCGCCTGCAGCGGCGGCAGCAGCCGGCCGCGCACGTGCGCCAGCCACGGCGCGCCCTCCTCCAGCATGTGCTCAGTCAGCGGGTCCACCAGCACCAGGTCCGACACCTCGCTGCAGGGCGGCACGGCTCATCACGCTGGGCCGGACGGCTCATCAGAACCATGCACGCTAAATGCGCAGCACACATCTCCCTGCATTTTATAGAAACACCGCGTTTCTTTTCGCTGAGCTGCCTTCGGTGGCAAGAGCACAAAAAGCATCCAAATCCCGCTTACGTACACGGGCCCGGTAGCAGCTGAAAAAAACATAGCCGCCCTGGCCGGACAAAGATCCACCTTTAGACACAAATGCGGTAAATATTTCCGAGCCGGAGGATCGCCCCTTCACTCGGCCACGTGGTGGACGTACCTGGGGTACAGGTGGGCATACAGCCGGGCGTTCAGTGCACCGAGGCCGGCTCCGACGTACAGTAACGGCGGCGGCTGCCGGCTGGCCTCGGTCAGCAGGCGGTGCAGGTCGGCGGCCGCCCGGCCGGCCGTGTACGCCGGCGGAGTAAGCCCGCTCTCCGGCCGGTCGGCGCGCTCCATCGGTCTGTCGTCGCACGGGCCGAGGGTCAGCGAGCGACGCCGTGGGGGGCGCCGGGCCAGGCAGGACGACCGCTTGCCATCACCAGGTCTGGTGGTGCCTCAGGTGAGGGTGATGTGCTCGGCGGGGGCTCCGAGTCAGGCGGCACGATCAGGGCTGGTGGTGCCTCAGGTGACGGTGATGTGCTCGGCGGGGGCTCCGGATCAGGGAGACGACCGCCTGCCACGATCAGGTCTGGTGGTGCCTCAGGTGACGGTGAGGTGCTCGGCGGGGGCTCCGAGTCAGGCAGCACGATCAGGTCTGGTGGTGCCTCAGGTGACGGTGATGTGCTCGGCGGGGGCTCCGGATCAGGGAGACGACCGCCTGCCACGATCAGGTCTGGTGGTGCCTCAGGTGACGGTGAGGTGCTCGGCGGGGGCTCCGAGTCAGGCAGCACGATCAGGTCTGGTGGTGCCTCAGGTGACGGTGATGTGCTCGGCGGGGGCTCCGGATCAGGGAGACGACCGCCTGCCACGATCAGGTCTGGAGGTGCCTCAGGTGACGGTGAGGTGCTCGGCGGGGGCTCTGGGTCAGGCGGCACGATCAGGTCTGGTGGTGCCTCAGGTGATGGTGAGGTGCTCGGTGGGGGCTCTGGGTCAGGCAGGACGACTGCCTGCCAGCACTACATCTGGTGGTGTCTCAGGTGACCGTGGGGTGTTGGTGAACTGTAAGCCTATCATTAGGTATTTCGGTGTTAACAGTATCCATGGATCAACTGGCTGATGTTGCAGTGTCAAGGGATGCTCCAGGTGACGAAGTCAAGGGCCAGTTCCATGAGGCCCTAGATCAAATAGGCAGCCACACGATCTGGGGTTTAGCAGCCTGGTGTCGTCGAGACGATGGGCAGCTTAAGGTGGAAATCGGCTACCATGCGCCCCCCGTATATCACGAGGTAAATCACGGGCTGAACCACCAACCTAAGCGCCATGGTTCAGCACCACATCACGCAAAAGGTTCACATATCAACGGAAGAGACCGAAAAACACAAAGCCCTCGCTGCATGTCAAAGAGATCTGACATAACAAACAAGTTCTCCGGTTGGACATATGCAAAGCTACGGTTTACACGCCTTCATCTTTTACATTATTCTCTTAAGTTATCGATTTTCTTTCTAGGATGCGACTATTCAGCTATGTTTTGGCCGAACGCTGACCTGACAAGACGCGAGTGCCCCCTGGAGGCGCTTCCATTCCGGTAGCGCCATGGTCCACAACATTGCGGCAGAACACGACGCGCAAACGCAGTCACATTTCAAAGGACCTCCATTTCTTGGGAATTAAAAACGAATGTCAGAATAATAATATCCCGCCCGTTTCATAACAAATAGCAGCTAACAGTTTCTGGAGGGCACAGTTCCGCTAAGTGAGCTGCACGCCCCGGAGCGCGCGCCACGTGGTGTGCCAGGCCCGGAGTGCGCGTGATCGCGTGGCCGCTGACCTGTCGCTGAAGCCGAGGCCGGCCCGGTCGAACACGCAGCAACGCGTCAGACGACTGAGGTGGGGCAGCACCGCCAGCCAGACGTCCGAGGAGGCGCCGGCCGGTCCGTCCAGCACCACTGCCGAGCGGCAGTAGGGCCAGTCAGCGGCGCGACCGCCCAGGAACCGGCACAACGGGCACTGACGCTGGTACACACACGACCCACCGCCAGCACTGATGCACGCGGCACGGCCCGCCGCCGGCGCTGATACACACGGCACGACCCACTGCCGGCGCTGACAGACAACACGGCCCACTGCCAGCGCTGACACAGACAACACGGCCCACCGCCGGCGCTGATACACACAACACGGCCCACCGCCGGCGCTGATACACACGGCACGACCCACTACCAGCGCTGACACACACGACACGACCCACCGCCAGCACTGATGCACGCGGCACGGCCCGCCGCCAGCGCTGATACACACGGCACGACCCACTGCCGGCGCTGATACACACAACACGGCCCACTGCCAGCGCTGACACAGACAACATGGCCCACCGCCGGCGCTGATACACACAACACGGCCCACCGCCGGCGCTGATACACACGGCACGACCCACTGCCGGCGCTGACACACACGACGCGACCCACCGCCAGCACTGATACACGCGGCACGGCCCGCCGCCGGCGCTGATACACACGGCACGACCCACTGCCGGCGCTGATACACACAACACGGCCCACTGCCAGCGCTGATACGCACGGCACGGCCCGCCGCCCGCGCTGATACAGTCGTACATGGGCGGAATTTAAATATGCTGCTGCGGTACCGCTCACCGTCCGTGCCATATGAGCGGGGCTATCTGCACGCCAGGGTCAACGCCACTAGCACAAGCAAAGAAAACGCCCACTTCCAGGCTTTCATATTCACTTGGGAACTGGCAAGGTAATCAAAACAGTAAGCACGTGCGCCATTCAGTTTCTCAATTTCCAACGAAACCAGTCTCTATCAAACAGGCTATGGAATTACTTTGACACGCTGGGAAATCAATCAACATCAACACTTAGCTACATCGAATTTTGGAAGTTTTCGAGCGCGACCTCATTTCCTAAGACCAATGCAGGTTCCTAAGATGAGTCCTACCACGAGAATTACGGTGATTAGGCTCTTCATAAACGATGCACCCACCTGTTGGAGATCCTTCACCCTCACACCTCAGGTACATCTTCTGGCCAAATCCAATATCATAAAGCTGGCCTGTAAAAGCAATCAAATGTGTGAACCTCAACAATCGCAACAGCTATCAATATCACAAAACACCGTAACGAAATACAAGACTCAGGGTAGCCTCCAGGCCGCTGACGCAACACTTCTCAAATTGATTACATTCTAGGGGGGGGGGGGGACTACACCATCGCGCACCTTATCCTGATCATGCTTAACAATGACAGTAGCGCCGGACATTTAGGGGATTGGACTCGGATCACATATCATGTCATGTGTTGGAAAGGTCGACGCACACGCTGAACTGAGCAGAGCGCAGTCGGTCGCTGCGTGCGCCGCTCCTGGAGTTCAGCCGCCGGAGGGCCCGTGCCGACTCACCGTGCGTGCGCAGCTGCTGCTGCTCCGACTGCAGGGCGGCGTGGTTCAGCAGCGGCGGCAGCACGGCAGCCAGCAGGGCGTACTGCAGCAGGCGGCAGCAGCGCTGCAACACAGCCGGGCAGAGCGGGGCGTCACGGCGTCACCGGCGCCGCCAGCGCAGCACGAACACCTCGCGGCTCTTCTCGGTGCCCATGGCGGCGATGACGCCGCCCTCGCCCGGCTCGCCGTCGAAGCCATCCAGCCAGCCCAGCTCGCCCATCGCCATCTGCGCCGCGTCCGGCGTCGAGAGCCGCGAGTGTGGCACCTTCTCCGACGCGATCACCTCCTTGGTGTTGAGGTTGACGAAGTAGAGGTTGGGGCAGCTCTCCTGCGCGTACGGCGCCAGCAGAATAGCGTACCGCGAGCCGATTGCCAGCAGCTTCTTCACCTTGAAGCTGACCACGATACGCGTGGACAGCACGCGCGTGCGCAGGTTGTACTGCACGATGGACGCTGTCGAGATCTTGTTGTTGGTCGGCGGTGACTGGCGCACGAACGTCACCAGGTGGTCGTGCAGGTGGCAGCCGGGTGTAAAAAACGGGATGTGCATGCCCGGCTGCGGGTGCAGCGCCTCGGCCAGCGGCACCGCCAGCCGCGGCGTGCGCAGCGACTTGAATGGCTCGGCGCCCAGCCACGGCGGTGTGTTCTCCACCTCGAACACCTGGATCTCGTCGCGCGTCATGGTGAGTAGCACGCGCGCCGGCGCCGGAGCGCCGCCGCCGGCACCGCCCAGCTGCACGCCGGTGCGCAGCAGCACGCGCACCACCCAATGGCTGTGGCGCGGCAGCGTGTTGAGCAGCAGGCCCGAGCCGAGGCTGAAGATCTTGACCGTGTTGTCGGCCGAGCCGCTCACCAGAATGTCCAGCTCCTCCGAGTAGTCGAGGCAGAACACGGGCCCGCTGTGCACCCAGAATCGGCGCAGAAGGCGGACGGCGCCTTCACTGCGCTCCTCGGGCTCCTCCAGACTGTGGCGCCGCAGCCGCTCGCGCAGCCGTTCGGCCCGCTCCGGGTCGCCAGACGTGTCCGATATATCGTACGACGACAGCTGCCCGTTGTAATGGCCACACACGATGAACTTGCCCTGCGTGAACTTGAGACAGGAGATGGGCAAGAAGGCACCGAACGTCAGAACACACTCGTTCTCGCCCAGCCGCCAGACGAACAGCGTCGCGAACTCGCTGGCTGCCACCAGATGGTCGTCGTGGTAGTCGAGCGCGATCACCTTGCCGCCGTGGCCGACCGGCATCTTCAGCGACACCTTCTCGAACGCCTGGCGCGTCTTCATGCGCCAGAGCGTGCGCGACGTGCCCAGAAAAAGCTCCTTCCATCCGCCGATGGCCTCGATGTCAATTGAACTGAGGCTGGTGCGCGTGCCGAGCAGCTGGCACTTGTCGCGCCACAGCGACGACAGCGACGACACGATCTTGTTCCAGGAGGAGGACACCTGACAGCAGCGAAGCAGCGACGCGCCGTCCACGTACGACAGAAGATGCTCGACGATCTCCAGCGGCAGCAGGGTGAGGAAGTCGCGCAGTAGCAGCGACGGCAGCCGATGCAGCATGTACCAGCGCTGGCGCGGGTGACTGTGCGCGATCAGGCTCTCCAGGAAGGCCGTCTGCTGCTGGTCGTTGAGCTCGGTGTAGCGCTCCAGCGTCGAGTCGACGAAGCGTGCCAGGGCGCGGTCGGCGGCGGCAGCGGCGGCCGGCCGGCCCCGCTCCTGGCCGGGCAGGACGGGCGGGGTCACGGTGCCGGCCGGACCGGAAAACGGCAAAGTAAGGCCGGGGGGGGGGGGGGGGGGGGAGTGCCACACACTCACAGCTCGGCTCAAGGTTAGCGGCAATTGATCGACACAGTTTCTGTCAACAGCTTCTACTAGCTACTTTTAAAACTGTTGTCAACTGCAACAGCTTACAACTCTGTTTACAACACTATTCTCTGCACTGCTAATACTGGCGGCTGTTTCAGCATCAGTACACTACAGTGTATATTTCACATTGAGTGCGAACATGGCCATGTGTGGTGTACAATAATCAATATGTCTGGCCGCGTACAAGTGTGAATGCATCCATGCATTGATCCAACCAGATATGCTATAAGTCTCTAAAACGTTACATAAAACGCGTGTCAAATGTTTATAGGTAAGCATTGCTTCTTCCAGTATACGCAAGCAGGAATAATAATCTGATAATACAACATGCATACAGAGCATCAGGGTGGGGGCGAGGCAGGCTTCGGTTTCGGCTTCGTGAAGCTGCAGTTTCCTTCCAATGGCTTCGGATTCGTCTTTGCGTAATTTTCCCCCGACTGACTTGAACTTTGACTTCGGCCACGTGCCATTTTAAGTGGCTGGCGTGGGCTTGGGCTTCGTGATATTTCCCCATGGCTGGCTTCAACTTCGGCCTCAAAAACTTTTGACAACTCCGACTCCATGCGAACTAAACGGCTTCGGATTTGTCATGTCCGCTTTTTTAAGTTGCGGCATTACTTCGCAAAAAGTCTTGCCCGTCTTATTACCCCTTTACACCACACGCATTTTCAAGTCTGCAACACTTACATTGCTTAAAGTAAAAATTGGCCAGTATATTAAAGGAGCGATTAACACCTGGCGACAGCCGGACAACTCAATGTCCGAAACGTTGTGTACATACTTAGACAGGAGGGTAAAGGTCAGAAAAGTATTCCAGCCGCAATGCTAAGACCTTGTCTCATTCACTCTGCAAAACTCTTGTGGTGTTTCCTAATATCACACGGTTTCAGCGCACTGGAAAATAGTTTTAGGTGCGTATAGCAACGTTGTATACCACATCCGGCTTCGGCTTCAGCCTCCTGATTTTGAGCTGATGGTGGTTTGACTTTCGCTTCACTTTTCCGATGCATGAAACCCTGGCTTCAGCTCCGCCTTTGCATGTGCGAAGTTTAAGGCTGCTTGGCCTGGGACTCATATATGCATTTTTAAAATATGAAGCCAGTGGCTTCATCTTTGGCTTCAAAATTTTAACCTTCGAGGACACCCGTTTGGGCTTTAGCCCCGGCTTCATATCACTGCGCCTCGGGGTCGGTTTCCGCCTTGAAGCAATAATCCTGGCTTCATGCCATGTCCACAGCATGTATCATGCAAGTGTTAACACACACAGCTGTGCAGCATGGCTAACTATCATGCCTCACAACATACCTGTGTGACAATCATTTTTGCACCATTATCATAGTCAGAAAGAGCAATACTGATTGAACACCTCTTGTGCATGCATCATGCAATGGCACACATATATAGCAACCTATCTTGAGCAATTTCCATTTCCAGTACATTGTTTCATTGGCAGAGTCACAGACTCAAAACACTTTCCGTTTTTCACACACTGTAGGTTTTAATATAAATTGGTAGCTTAAATTGTTCAGCTGTGACCATCACATGTAGTAGTATATGTATTAAGTATTTTCATGTTCCAACAATTTATTGACATGACATGACAACAACATTGACAATTTATGGTAAGTATGGGTAAACGGACATTTTCATGAAAGAACTAAAGACACGAAGACATAGACGGCTAGATGACAAAGAGGTTCTCGAGCATATTGTGGTTGGCCTGCCCCAGGTTCCATGCACATTCCCTAACTAATCTTACCAACTGACCTGCCTGAATTGAGCCATAAGTGAAATCTTAAGACTGATAAGGCTTGGCCAAACAACTTTTAAATATTGCTAGAGAGGTACTCCCTAAAATTGCATTTGGCAGTCCATTCCAATAACCACTGACATCTGCCTCTTCATAATTCTACTCATACCTTTTGCTAGATGGAACTGGCTTCCTCCAAGGTATAATTTTGGCCGCTTATTCTCCAAGCCTGTGTAATATTATTCGCAAGAATAATAAAGAACAAAGGGCCCAACACACAACTACACACACAGGGCCCTCTGGAAGCCCACTCTCTGCCAGCTCTCACTGATATTTTGTATCACTGAGCACTACCCTTTATTTCGGCCTAGCAGCCCATACCCAGCTTATGATTTTTCCTCAATGCCATCCAAATGTAAGTGATAGAGAAGATGTTAGTATGGTACCTTATCTAATGCCTTAATAAAATCTAGATAAACAACACTTAAATTATTCTCCATATCTATGTGACTGGTAAAATACTCCATAAACTCTAAGATTTGTCCAACAAGACCTACCAGACAGAAAACCATGCTAACTGCTATTTATCAACTGATGTCTGTCTATGTGTGACTGAATGCTAACCTTAATGAATTTCTCTATGATCTTACATGCTAGTGAGTTTAGGCTGACAGTCCTGTAACTTGAGTTTTTGGCCCCGTTCTTAAAAGTTTGTACTACATTCACATTACAGCTGTCCTAGGCACTTCTGACAATCTCAATTATGCACAATATATGAACACAATAGGATAAATGTATGTTGAATAATTTTCAGTGTATTGCAAGATGTTCTGGCTTAAAAATATTGCATGAACATAACAGCATCTCAGGTTTCAGAAAATGCAAGCTAAGAATGCACACATGGGTCAGGGTGTACTTTCTTACATAATGTTAGAAAAAATCATTGTACACCATTTGTCATGTTTAAGGTGGGACATATAGTAAATAATCACAAAACAGGTAGATTCATGCTCTTACCTTCAAATTTTTTATAATTACGATGGCGAGCTCCCAAGCGCCGGACACACACAGCAGCCGCGACACTGGTGCCATTACTGTGCGCTGTCACAACATTACTGCGCATCAAGCAGCATCGAGAACCATAAAAATGTACAGGGCCAAGGTAACAAGAATCCATGAAGTTTGATCCTCTATGCCAATGGGATGATGGGTTGCAGGGGGATTGGATGGGGAATGTAAAGCAAAATGAGAACATGGTACTAAATAAAAGCTCACTGTACAGTACCCATATATGGCATGGGACATGGACGCCAGTGGGACACCGGGTTGAAGGCGATACAGGGTGGGGAGGTTAGGTTAGGTTAGGTTAGGTTAGGTCATGCTAGCTTAGGATATGTTCTGGACTATTCTGGCCTGTGTGTTTCATAAACCTACCTAAATGTGATAAGAAATGATTTTCATTGCATGATTATTGTTACCTTGGTCCCATACATTTTTTATGGTTCTCGATAAGCAGAAATATCGTAATTACACAACAATGCAGATACACCTACACCCACACATGCATGAAATACACATGATCAGCTGCATATTAATACTATCAGTTATGCCAGTTGGGGTACTTTGCTCAGTACCTGTTTAGCTGAAGGTCCAGAAGATGACATCAGGAGGTCTATGTCTTCATCAGAAAATCATGCACTTGTCCAATAACCAGTGATTCTTTTGGTCACACCAGAAGTATGTAAGAACAAAAAATGCAGTGATATCCAACTTTTAAGTCTGAAGTATTGATGGAGAAGCTGAAATGAAAATTCAGAACACAACTGTCAATTTCAGATGCAACAGAACTAGTCATTTCTAGCTGCAGGTGTGTCAAATTTCATGTATCAAACATTTCATGATCAATGACATGAATGACAGCATAATGCATGAAAAGCCAGACCTAGCCTAATCTAGCACCATCATCCTAGTCATAAAGCTAAGGCCAGTGCAACCCATGATGCAACACTACACAGCCCTGAAAAGATGCAAAAATTGAAAGTAAAAAAGCAAAGAGGATGAGAGGCCTTGACGATTAGTTGCCAGTTGAGCGAAGACCAATCGACGACACTAATGACGGAAAAAATATCAAAGTTTCCTTGACCACTGAGAACAAACGTTGATGTTTAATGCTTCACCATATCGTTACTGCAGCGGTTGCTACCTCCACCATTCAAAGTGAAACTTGACAGGCTCAATTAATCTCAAATCAGCGTCTTCTACACCCTATTCCCTGTCAAGCAACGAAATGCTACCAATTCTCGCTTCTTCTAACCCACGGTTCCACCTAAACCCGCAAGGCGGACAAAAGTCTGAGCGCATCAGATCGACACTGATGCGCCATTCCTAATAATAGACAAAAATGATAAAATACTGCTTTCATACGAAGAAGCCAATAACTCAGTATTTTTAGCCCTTTGGGACATCTTTTGGCACAAATAACAACAGCACAAAATAATTTACGCGTAATGAGCCAATTACGCCCCGCCATTAAGCGTGAAAGATCAAAGTCAGCCGACAGGAGACCCTGAAGTCGGAAATGACTTGGGTTCTGTTCAAAGAGAAGAAGCTAAAAACGTGTTTCTGGTGTCTGAAAGCAAAACCATGAACACAATGCGAAGCAGGGGCGGTTCAGTGGTGGCAAATAAGCGTGGAAGGCCGGTAAAAATTAGTACGCCGCCCAGAAATTAATCGAGAAATCAATCGCAGCTTCCATCGCGGCGATCGACCCTCCAGCGTTACAGAAGTTCCACCGCCACTCAGTCGACTTACACCCTCATTCCTCGTTGAACATATGCTCATCTTTCAAACCTGAAAACTATCCAAAATGCAATATAATTACCCCGCCACCGCGGCCACAGCAGCCGCAGGCTATGTCGCGTTCATGCATGTGAATCTGGGAACAGAGGAAGGAACTTTACGCATCAATAAGGAACATATCTCACTTTGCTTGCAAGTAAACTATCTTCCATCACAAAATGGTTATTTCGCTTCTTGAACTATTTACTTCGTATGCGTCAAGCGATAACATCTGGATTGAGCAAAGAGAGGTTAATACCACGGGCGGCGGCAGGCCACATAGTGCGGCAGATGAATGAGGACGAAGGACCTCTGAAAGTCAGGGAGTCAGCGAGAGAGAAAGAGAGAACACGAACGAAAGGGTAAGTATGAGCTAAAGAGTGAGCTAAGACCTGCTAGTGCGTGCCCGTCGAAGACCCCACAACCAGCTACATTCTCGACCCCTTGGAGCCGGTAACGACAAAGCCATCGTCACTGCAGGTATGCTGTGAGCTGCCTGGTGCCCCCAACGGCATGCATTGCCGGAATTCTGGAGAGTTCCGTTCACGGGTCCACCACGTGATCAGCGTGTCACACCGACGTGACCTTCCGGGCGGCTGGGGCGCGGCGGATCAGCCTGGGCTGGACACGGGTTGCAACGAGTACATTTGAAAACAAAGTTTGGGGAAGATAAAAGCCCGTGAAAAGCAGAAATACGTAGCCAGATGCAGCCACGCTTTCCCTTGGCAGGAGCAAGCTTGCCTCGCCCCTGAGAGTTTACAGTGCTGTTACACTGCTAGGGTCGAGACGGAGCCGCATCTAAGGGTCCTGTCAGAGGTATGGGTCCCCTGGAAGTTTTTCACAGGTATTTCAATTGCATTTGAGAGAATGTCGCCTGTACTAAACGCCTTTTCATCGAAGAGCTGGGCGATTTCCACAACTTAAAGGGATTTTATTAATCATTTAGCAACTGAGCTCATCCCCGGCTCTATCTCACGTCTCATTCACATCTTACATGCGTTTGGGCTCCAGATGCCTATCTCTCCCGGAATCCATTCATGCAGTTTGATCTACGGAAATGGTTTCTGAGCTATACGCACAAAAAGTTGCATGGTAGCTTTCTACCTCACTCGGTATCTCACTCTTCGCCAGGAGCTTTCTTTTACGTTTCGCGTAGCATTTTAGAAAGTGTTGGCTTTGGCATGCGGGTCTTTGGAGTTAAGTACGTGGTAAAGCTGTTGCGGTCGTGATGCTACCGTTCAAAGCGTTATGACTGAGAGCAACGGGTAAAAGAAACATTCTTTTGGTTGCTGGGGTTTATTGGAACTGGAAGTTACTTTTCAAAGTAATGGTTTTTCACGCGCCTCAGGAAAAAATTAAAATAAATTCTTCAGCCACGATCCATTTTAAGGCCCAGGTTTGTACGTGAAGCTAACTAACAGAAAAAAACGTACGTTTCGGTTCCCAACAGCCATCTTCGACACCAGCTGATCAGCGTTTAGGTGCACCTTCGCCTGTCTGTCGGTACCTTCGCCTGTCTGTCGGTACCTTCGCCTGTCTGTCGGCGCCTGATGTTTGTGCCTGCACCAGGGAGGACATCCTGAGACAACAGACAACCGTTCAGAAGAGCTCCAAAGAAGAACTTTGTATTACATACCTCTTCGTAAACTGCCTGTTATGCAAACGGCCAAAATTAATGGATCTTCGAACAGCATTGCTGGGTATCCCATTCCTTTCCGCACACGCAATTGACGTTCACGCCACCATTTGTGTCAAATTTTTTCGCATAAGCAATTCTTTGTGTGGCATTACCTCGAGTGCGCTTTTTCGTTCTCGCATTGATTCGGATCACTTTTTTCGCACACCCAATTGGTCACGTGGTGTTTATTCAACTCGCTCGCAGTTCTTTGACAGAGGATTCCAAACGCATGCATATCAGGTGGGCTGCAAATTTGTGCGGGTCTTGTGTGATTCTCAGACTTACAGAGATACGGGTAGATATGCTTCGCTTGGTAACACGATCAATGCCGACTTGTTTAACGCCATTGGGTGCCACAGATGACTATGGTGCGACATTTGCAAGTCCCACTGACAAAACCTCAACTGATTGCTCGTTGTGAGATCGTACACTTTGACTGATTCTGGCTGTCGAACAGCTTCAATAGGATGTGAATTACATGGACACAATGTAAAATAAGAAACAAAACAACAAAGTATTGTTGTGCTTATGAGGGTAAATGGTCGTGCAGTCATTTGCCGATGAGAATGGCGTAATAGATCATAGCATAGTATACGTCATAGCAGAACTGATACCATAACTCCGTCATTTTTTCAGTGAACGCAACATAATTTATAACCTACGATAATCAAAAAATGGTGTGGCGTAGTAAGGACACCCCACTACATTGGTTTCAGATAGAACACTGATGTACATTTCTGGTATGGCTGGGTAGCACCCTTCGAGTTTCTTTTGACTTGTGGTAAATGTGACAGCCTCGTATTAACTGCCTGTACATGTATACCGCTTGGCACTGCTGCCTGCCCTTGGCATTCTTCAAGGACACGAGCCGGGGACAGGCTTCACGGAGAGCAGCAAGGGCACACGACCCTCCCCCACCTCTCTTGTGCTGCACAAAGCGCGGAGAAAATTGGTATGCTTCGTAGAATATCAATCCTACATAGAAACTCAACGCGACAGGCCAGCGTCTACGGATGAGAACCAATGACACGTCCAGTGCACGCATCGTTCAGGAACATACGGAAACCCAACAGCGTCGACGGGTGAGAACCAGTGACGCGTCCAGTACATACATCGTTGAGGAACATACGGAAACCCAAAAGCGTTGACGGATGAGAACCAATGACACGGCCAGTACGTACATCGTTCAGGAACATGCGGAAACGCAACAACAACAATTAAAGGACAAATCTGAAACCAGGATGCTCAGTGCTATAGTCTCACGGTATTAATTATGACTCAGACAAAATTATTTCAGGCCTGAGCTGAGCGATGCGGAGCAAACAGGACGGAGGACTGGACAGCAGCAGCGAGTCCCGCCAGCCGCCAGCTCCATGGTATCTCGCATCGAGATGGGGCATCTATACACGATGGTGCGGCAGAAAAAAATTCGGAGGACGAGTCGTAACTAAAGAACAGCAAAGACAAGGACGCTTGGTAACGAATAGAGAAACAGCAAATAAGATAATAAAATACCGGCGTTTCTGCTCTCAGCACGACGCCTTTTATGAAGATGCATCTTTTCGGCAAAACTTTGATCCGGAAATACGCGTTTACGAAGAAATGCAACTGGTGCATGTACATTACGAGAAGTTTAAATTGCATGTGGAAAGAAATGCTTCGTAATACCACCTATGCGAAAAATATGGCACTAAAAAGTGCGTTTGCGAAGAAATGAGATGCAAGGCACTTGTGCACAAACAAATGCGTTACGAAAAAATGCGACGCGAAGAAATGTGCATGCAACGATGTGTGATACGAATAATTACGTTGACACTTTGTGAGTGCGAAGTTTTGCAGACACGAATATTTGCGTGCGAAAAATTGGCGTACGAAGATTTACGATGCGAAGGGATGCGCATAATTTTTTACTGCCGATGAATTTCGATTCGAAGTCGAAGGCTGGCTTTTAAGTCCATAGATCAACCGTAATTGTATGCGTGGTGAAACAAGCTGGGTGATTGTCCAGAAGCTGAAAAGGCATTCGCCTTGTTGAGCCAGCAACGATGAATCTTGAGATCCTCATTTTTAGGAGGACTTAGTCTTACGTGAATAGCGCCAGTGTACGAAATGTAGGCATGCAGATCGAAGATGATTGTAAGGATTATATGCGTTAATACCTATCCAACGATACTTGATGCTGTCGGAAATATCGCAATAGTGAGCAATCAACGAACTGAATAGTGGACCAAACAGAGACTATGAGGCATTGGAACAATGCCACAGCGGTAAGATGGTCTGAAATACAACGGTGGAGCTAGAGCCAGCATGCCCGACTTGGAATATCGGCATGCAAAGGAAGGCACGGCCGATAACCAACCTGTAACCGCACAAAGGCCGTCGTTTGAACTTTACACGGGTTCATTCGCACGCCGTCTTATGAGAGATTGGGCTCGTTTCGTCAACAATGCATTCCAATGTTACCAGTCCCCACTGCATGCATTTGAAAATGCTCCAAAATCGTTCTGTGGCCATTCAGCACGCGCCCTCGCCACATGATGAGGTAACGAGTTTGTTTTTGTCGCGGTGCACTCGGCGGCGGAAGCATGATTTTAGCCCCATGAATTGCTAAAGGCAAGTGTCAATCACTTAGCACAGAGACAGGAGCGTGGGCACATAGAAGCCCCGGTAGCACTTGACAGCACGTATAAATTTATGAAATCTGTCTCGCCTGCGGCGCATTGAACTCTGTTTTCAGTGACCATTCTTGATTTGAGTCTCTCTCTGCTTGGAATGCGTTGAAGTAGGCCGTGCAT